AGTTAACGATAACACATTTTTGTACCGGATACAGCCAAGGTTTAAGTTAGAGTTACACTCGAAAGCATTCATGATTTAAGAAAAAGGTACAATCGGTACCTTTTATATGTATACTGTTTTCTGATATAAACCCATTTTGAAGATGTTTTTTCCTTCGCTCGAAACAACGTTTTCCAATCGGGGTGAAATTCCTCAACAAGGATAAATTTTGTCGTTAATGGGGAGCGTTTTTCATTTGCTGTAGTAGTACCTATGCTTTTCATAGGTTACAAAATAGGCGAAGAGAGGGATTTAATTCTTAAACTGTTTATTATTTGTTTAGGGCAGTGGTTCCCAACCGGTGGGAAATTTGGAGGTTGTAGGTGGGAAATTGAATGCTCCTCTAAAAATGTACGCACAACAACACAATTATTAAGTATTACACAATGAAAATCACAATATATGCCATGAAGCGGAAAAAGATTCCCATTCAATTAATCAAAACGTTAGTAAAATATCACGTTGTTGGGCGTGATATTCTGATCGTGCTACGCAACTCATTTTGTTCTTTGGTCGGCCGATAACAACCTCACAGGCATGTCTCGAGCGAGCACCAACGCTTTAAATTGAACGTTACGCAAAAAGATTTTTGTTGCAGAGCCGCAAAAGAGAACAGTTTTTATTCAAATGTCTTGGGTAAGCACGCGCGCTATGATGAACAAATATTTGACCCGTCCCACCATTCGGCTAAATTGTTAATACAAGATAATGGCTTATGTAAAAATAAAGTACGATCATAGTCATATCGGCTACGTTTCATGTTTTTAACGAAAATTTTGAGCAACTGCCGCAATGCGTTTTTTGCACTAAGACCATTTTCAATGGTTCTATGTAGCCCCATTTAATGGAGCAACATATTTCAAATACCCATTTGCTTATCAGTTTGCTAAAAAAATTGCAAAATAAAAGCACGATAAGATTCGACAACATGGGCAATTTCAAATGAGTTCAAAGGTGATATCAACTGCGTCATTTCTAGATGTCCTGCGAATAGCAAGAACCCAAAGTTCCATACCTTAAGTGGGACATAAATGAAACTTTGTCTCGTGGAGGGTGATGATATTCTGCCGAGTAAGTCTGCGCCGTCAAAGATGATTGGATCTCCTTGTCCAATAGCAATGCGCATTTTCAAAAATAGATTAAGACTTCCGGTCTATCATATAAAAAACAAAACAGCAGAATTGATATGGACGGTGTAATGTTATGTAAACTTTGATGCGTTTTTTGTAATTTTAAGCGTTGAATTGTTCTATTCGATGGATAACACTGATTTTCTTTACACGGATCGTCTCTGTCTTGGGATGCTAGACGGCGCAATGAATGTTCTCACAGGGTTTCAACCTCTACACCAATTGCAAGCCTTTATCATAGAAAGTCATATAATTGACAGGAAAATTATTCTTTTTAAATAAGTCCATATATAATGGGAAATAACAACTCAGCCTAATCGGAAGTGGGAAATTGAGATAAAAAGGTTGGGAACCCCTGGTTTAGGGCTTTTAAGATTCTGTCGTGGGGAATTTCACGTTAAAACTACATCAGATTCACAAACTTGAAATTAAAATACAATTAAAAAAAAGCACTGAACTATTTCGTCATGATAACTACTTTGCTAACGATGAATTTGAAATTTTCTTGCGGAAGCTTGTCACATGAAAAAATTCTAATAACAAGCTGGAAGTCGGTGCTGATAATGGGGGATTGAATGTGATTTACTACACGATTCCAACTTCCATCGTCGGCTTCAGCTTTTGGCGCCTCTGCCATATTATGTTACTCACCATTGTGTCTACGAAAAGATACAAAAAAACAAAACGTCGGTCGGAATATTATACAATTCCGAGGAAGCTTGTCACAACTGTTAAACGAATAAATTCTAATAACAAGCACGAAGTCGGTACTGATAATGGGGGGTTGAATGTGATTTACTACACGATTTCAACTTCAACTTCCGGCTTCAGCTTTCGGCGCCTCTGCCATATGTTACTCACTATTGTGTCTACGAAAAGTACCTAAAATAAAATCAAAATATTATAATCTCTTTCTCCGAACAATAAAGATATCGAAACATATTCACGAGTCAATCCAGGTTTTCCAGTTTAACAAAGAAACTCGTATATTAAAATGATCCGCACGCATAGATTAGAACAGTTTTAATGTTTTGAGGAAATGACATGAAAGAAAAATTTTATCCCGGCTTACCATATATATATATATGAAACGAACCAAAAAACGGGACAGTGCGTACTAGGCTTGCACGTAATTGACAAAAATCAATTCCGTAATTACGGCAAAATCAATTACGTAATGACCCCGTAATTGCGATATTTTTCCACGCATTCAAACCTATCATAACAACCAATTAAATCCACTTCTTTTCCGAATGGGACATTGAAGTTGGGTTTTCATATTCTTGGCAGTACTACACGCCGTCGGCAGATGTTAAAGACAAATATCAAGGAGTGAATTCAAATTAATTTTATTCTGATTTTTATATTTTGTGTTGGCTTTGGTTTTCATTTATCACCTTCGCAAATTAACCGTCCCATTTTTATGCGATCAATTTTATTTTATCAATACCGACACTGGTATACGGATATTTATGGAAACGATAGTTTTTTAAAACCACCTTAGTGCTGAATAAAAATTACGGGTTTCTAATTTATTAACTAACGACGAGCGTATTCTCTCGTTTGATTATACTTGCGATTTCCTCGCGGCGAAGACTTGTTTTTGCAGCGTCTTCTGCATTATCCGACATTATTGCCTTGTTAGCATTTTATAATAATAATTATTGATGTCGACTTATTGACGATATTCCGATTACCATGCTTCATTTTACATTTAATCATTTCGCGGACTGAATGTTTATAACATTATTTGCGATAAATTTAGATCAAATATTATTTATTTGAGTATAATTTAAATATGGAACTTATATGATATGCCTTCTCCGAAAATACAAAGTTATATCGCAAAACAATGCATTTTGTGACATTTATTTTACACTCACGACATTTATTTGCTAACTCAAGTCGGCGATCCTATCGGCCAAGATTGACACAAGTTTGGTCGAGTGCCGGTGGTATTCAAGTCCACGATAAATCAAAATAAGTTGCCGCATTTGGTAAGACAGTTAATCATATACGGCCGAAATATTGAGAGGAATTGTGAAAAACATCATGAGCAGGGCCAAATCCGGACTGATATATAACGATAAAACCGTTAACAGAAAACATAAGATTTTGTAATAGAAAATGGATCTCACACAGAATAAACACACTGGCTCATATTTGATTATATATGATAGCAGTTAAATTTTTAGCGGTCCGCGAGGAATCCGTCGTTTTGCTGTTTCTCTGCCGTCTCAATCGCTTTACCGATGCCGAGGAGACGAAGTTGCGTTGGTTCATTACGCAATCTCTCTTTTGTCTTTATATTGCTATTTGATAAGCGCGACATTAATTATCACGGCGAGGTATTGGTGCGAGTGATCAATCGCTCTTTTCGCTAATTTGGTTCCAATTCGTCGCGAAAGCTCTTCGTTAAATTTCACAAGATCGTCGTGTTGAAAGGTTATGGAATATTTCCTGTTTATACCCCAAGTCTGAAATAAAACAGCCAAAAACAGTATGATATTCCATGTTCATATATTAAGTGTTGATATTAACAATAACGAATGGTTAAGCATTGCTAATCCACACTTGGTGGGGAATTCCCACTATTTAAACGCGTGACTATAAAATAGAAACGGAACATATATATTATATACCACAAGTATCGGAAAACTGGAACAAGTAAATAATAAATAAAAGTAAAATGAATACAAATGTTTGATAGACCATGTTTGAAAGATTGATCTCCTGCGTTCCTTAGTCATTTCACCCGAAGAAGTTGAAACCGGGCGTGTTAGCGTCCATCGGTCTTAACACAATTCTTCCCCCTATCTACGGTTATTATGTACATTGGCCATGGTCATGCTAGATAAGAAGCGAGAGAAGTTGAAACCAGGTGTGTTGGCATCAATCGGTCTCAACGCAATTCTATCCCTTATCTACGGTTAAGTTACGGGAGAAGTTAAAACCAGGTGTGTTGGCGTCAAACGGCCCTACTCAGTTCTTCCCCCTTAACTACGTTAATAATTTACATTGGCCATGCCAGAGAAGTTGATAATAGGTTAGTAAATGGCAACGCGTCATGCCTTCCTTCACCTACGTAACAAGAGAGAGAAAAACGGCTGCGAATACCGGAACTCTCTTCTACTTGTTGAGCTTCCATTTTTCGCAATCGACGAAATTGACTGCTTTAAAGAAAGCTCGTTTCAATGCAGTAATTACGACTTTACGTAATTCGTAACTTCCCTTCCGTAACTCCAAATAATTACGTAATTCCGTAAATCCGTAAATTACGTGCAAGCCTAGTGCGTACTGGAAAAATCTTGGTTCGATTCGTAGGCTTAGTACTACTGAAACATCACTGAAAAACGTGCACTTTTTGTCAGGCATTTTGAATAATTAAACGAAAGTTAAGCTGACGTTAGATATTAAATTGATGTACCAAATTTACAACAATTATGACAAAACAATATAGTAGTCTCTCTCCCCTCCCACGGAACTAGTGAAGTGAGTACCAAATCAGAAATAATAGACTGGTTCCATTCCATAAAAATATTCGTATTGATATTAAACAACAACAAAAAGCAGCCTCCTCGGGGGTAATAGATGTTCAACGACGCATTATGAGGAGTACAGATTAAATTATTGCGCAGTCGGGTTAGAGTTGTAACCTTGCTCATAAATCGAAAACATGGGTTCTGACCATTCTTAATCTTGAACAATTATTCATTGAAAGTAGCCCAACAGTCAAAATGTTTAAAAGTGCGTTGCATTGATCACTTCGCATAACACTTTTTAAATGTTGACAGATTTTTCTTCTATTTCATAAGGATTGTAGAATACAAAAGCTGCAGAAAATGAATTGCAAAAACAAGATCATACCTGTCGTTCTCCTTTATTGCTGCATAATAGCAAGTGAGTTGTATGTCATATTTTCAATCGAATTGCAATTGGAACAAATCAAACTTTTTAACGTTAATTGTTGTTTTGTTACCTTTTTTAATGAAATGCAATATGAATAAAACATTTTAGAAGCTCTACAGTTTGAAGAATTTGACTACAAGAAAGATTTCAATAAAAATCTCGAGAAAGAATATCCTCAAAATTTTCTGGATGAAAAAAATATTGAAGCGGAGATTGACACCGATTTTGACGACGATGAAGACTTTGAATCAGACCTTGAATCAAATTTTGAAGCCATATTCAAGGATGATTTTGAGCCTGATTATGAAAAAGATCTGGAGGTTTGTACAACATATTAAATAACCACCAAGACAGCACCCACAATACATGTCTTTATTTTTCGAAAATACCAATTCGCTGTTGCTTAGAAGTTCCCCAAATTGTACGCAGAATTTAATGAAAATATGTGGTTATTTGTCTGTTAGCCTTACTGAGCGTGAAAGCAAAGAGTACAATTTAAATGGTCAATGATCACGCTTCTTTTGTGACCAATTTTTATACTTAGCTTTGACTTTGCTTCCATGCACCTTTGCATGTAAATTCATTTTGCCTTTTAATATTTAATAAACCACGTCTACACCAAAACTCCACAAAACAAAACGTTTGGTAGCGACCACGAAAGCAGAATATAATAAAATGGAGAGTGTGCTTTTGTGACTTTTCTTGTCTTGTTTTCCTTTATTTCATCCATTGATTTTTAAAATAATAATGAATATAAAATATCTGAATTTAAAATTGTATTTTTTCATTCACAATGGTCACACGTTTTTTTAGAAAAGGATTCTGAGAAGGCAACGTTCTTTTTGTAAAAAGTTCAAGTTATGTGAGAAAGGAGAGCATGGGTTCAAAACTGGATGTGCTAAGTTTGAGAAGACTTATGTGTACAACCGTTCATTCCCTCGTGTCTGGAGTAAGTTTAAGTGCAAATTTCAATTAAACATTGTCTGCGGGATATTGAAAATTATTAAAGTTATTACTAGATCCAATTTTTGCTTGCGACCACAATGATCGATAAAAAGTAAGAAGTGCGCTTTAGATATATCGTTGAACAGTGCAGTTATATCCAAATGAGATATAATTAGGCCTACTGGACGAGGCAAATTGCAAACGGTCATGCCGAACACTATTATAGTGACACACGTTTAATCAACGGCAACAGTTTAGCCCGATGAGCGTGTCAGTATATCCTCTATGTGTTTGTTTGTCCATAACCGGAAAGCTTCTTTTTCTTCCAAAAATACCATTCAGTCATAATCAGTTTCTCCTTTCCTTGCAAATCCTAATTTTTCGTTTTGCTTCTTATCCGTTGATTTTTATACTTGTTTTATTCAAAGTGTCAATAACCTTTCTACCTCCCAGCGACGAGAAAAATCTGAAAATCGAAACCCATCCGTTTAATTTTTATAGATGCTATTTATTGGTGAATAATTATTGTCAAAGCGGTGGTCATTGATGTATAACAGAAGTATAAAATTTACAACTTTTTTGTACAGAGAAAAAAGCTGCAAAGTTGTGCGTCGAGTGTCAAGAGCTATGCAGAAGGGGATAAAGGCCACCTGGATTCATTTAATTACTGATTGAAATAAATTTGGTAAAGAATTTACGTCAATGTTTGTAACCGGAAAAGAAATAGAAATGAAAAATAGATTTAAATTATGATGTTTTTTCAAGTTTTCATTTACATTTCCTTTTAAGAACTGGTCAGTGAAACTGTGTGCTCGAATAAAATAAAAAAAAAAGTCTTTCTATAATAAAAAAAAACTCATGCTGAATTAATTTACCAGCAACGTGTAATCGCGATTCTGCTCATCATGACATCATTCGCAAAGAAGATATGTTCCAAAGCAATATTTGAATAACTAGAAGTATTTTCACTACTCTTGCGTGTAATTTAAAACTTTAGAAAACGTCATTATTGACTATTTACCCCATCTAATTCCATCTAATTGTGTATATTGTATATCGAGACGTGGAACTATAATACCTTTCATAAGTCAGTAATTAGCCAATTTTTGGTGCTCCAGAAGTATGTCTACCTTTATGGATGTAACTGATTTTTTCGCCTATTTTACATCAAGTTGTTAATAAAAGGGACTGAAACTTATGGGCATGGGGTATATTAACTTGGCTAACACAAACAGTCTCCGAACTCGTAATAGAACTAAATTGAGGAAAATCAGAATAAAATTATGGCCTAACCCTAACCTGGTACACATACTACTGGAGTACCCAATTTTTGTTAATGATTATTTACTCATTTTAAACTTCTGCATAGCGAAGTCATTTATTCTGCAGAGTCATTGATGTTTATTCAATTGATAATCCTCTTTTTAGCAGTTAGCAGTAATAGACCTAAATTAAGGACATTTGGAAGAATCGTTGTAAAGACCCCCTAAAGTCTGATTGATCTAGGTATGAGCTATTCCGACGTAATCTGTGGTCTAACGCCAAAACCAGAAGTGAGAAAATTTTCTATAGACTTAGAGCAATGATTGGAAACATGATGTACTACCGGGCAAAATACACACTTTTCAGATAGCGTGAAGGCCGTATTCGTTTCCGCTCCCAAACGAATTATTGCGCGATCGCGAACTCCTATTACTGTGTTAGACGCCTGTCACAATAAAACGATGATCAAATATATGAGCACGAAATGGTCAGGGTGTGAAATCTGTCACAGTGGCCTACCGGTGCCGTAGCGCACCTGACAACAGATTTGAACTTATGCGAAAGGGGAGCCGCCACGCAACTTGTAATTTTGATTACGTCACCACACAAACGAATTCAATTGAGGCCCCAATTGTTTAAAATAAATATAAATAATGATCTTTCACCGAAATATACAATTGTTCAGTCTTAAACCAAGCAAAGTTTCAAAACAATTGGTCGGGTGCAAATATACGTAGATGCAAAGATATTGGAACCTCATTCTGAAGTTATTCGACCATTTAATATCTACTGACGGTAGTCACTGTATCGGAAGGGTGTATAGTTAACGAGAACACACTTTTGTACCGGATACAGCCAAGGTTTAGGTTAGAGTTGCACTCGGAAGCATTCATGATTTAAGAAAAAGGTACAATCGGTACCTTTTATATGTAATCTGTTTTCTGATATAAACCCATTTTGAAGAAGTTTTTTCCTTCGCTCAAAACACACGTTTTCCAATCGGGGTGAAATTCCTCAACAAGGATGAATTTTGTCGTTAATGGGGAGCGTTTTTCATTTGCTGTAGTAGCCTAGTACCTATATTTATCATTTCTTCAATATTGCTATCATACTCATTCAAGCACACATCATAAACTACTAAAACTGTACAAAAGCCAGAGTTTCACCTGCGCATAACACCAGCTAAGACGAAAAAATAAATTCACTCTCTCTCTCTCTCATTTTGAATTTACTAAAACAGTAGTTTTAGGCATAGTGGTGGAGAAATAAAGAGTTACAAAATAGGCAAAGAGAGGGATTCAATTCTAAAACTGTTTATTATTTGTTTAGGGCTATTAGGATTCTGTCGTAGGGAATTTCACGTTAAAACTACATCAGATTCACAAACTTGAAAGTAAACTCAATTAAAAAAAATATTTTTAAATTTTATATGAATATAACCATTACAACAAACAAGAGAGCTATGCTCAAATATAAGGACACGTAACGCCACATAGTGGTAAATTTTGATGACGTCATACCACACAAAAAACGAATCCCATGCAACCATTGAATTGGAAATACATGGAACGATCTTCTCTCTCATTTTACGTTGTCTCGCCGCGGGATCATTTGATCGCCGCCATCTTGGCATTTATGCCACCAAAGTTTCTTCGTGTCGTATATGGTTTTGGCCAGTATTTCGTCTATTTTAGTACCCAGTGCGCCGCATTGGATGTATATGCGACACTGTGTGGATATTCAAATACAATTATATTCGAGTTGGGAATTTGTTGCCCGATGTGGATCTCGTTCTTAAAAAAATTTGATTGCTCAGGCGATTACACAATAGATATAAGTGGAAACAATTAGTTTTGCCTGATATCATAAAAATGCAATATCCTCCACGTACGGGGAAACTTTCACCCTGGTCTTGGGTGAAGTGCGAAGCGCAGCTCCCGTAGTCTGTGTACCAGGTTGGGGTTAGGCCATACCTTTATTCCGATTTTCCTTATTTTAGTTCTATTACGATATCGGGTACTGTGTGTGTTAGCCAAGTGAATATGTCCTTCGGTCCCTTTACACACCTTGGTGTAAAGTAGGCGAACTATATTAGTTACCTCCATATTGATACACACACTTCTAGAGCGCCCTTTAGTTTTGTTCATATTTATTCATAGCTCGGGTACTACGGAACCAGTCCACGCAATGATATTGAGATCGCCATGCAAAATACTTGCGGTAAAACATGGCCAAATACAGGTGAACGGGAAAGCGATTCCGATAAGCCATCTTGGCTAATGTTCTGTGGTCGTTTTTGTTTGCTTTAGTTTAGACTGATACGTTGGCTATATTATTAACCACAACTTGACCACAACCACAATTTATAAAACTGCCAAAATTAGCCCTGTATGTTGGTCTGGGATATATTGGCGTTTGATCTATAATTAGAAACGAGTCATGATCAGGAGAATATGTGAGAAAAATTGACGCAAATAATTGATTTCTGTCAAATCCCATAAGAAATGCATTACGCGACTAGGAAAAATGGGAAGCATATCGTCAAAACGAAAGAGCGTTCAAATGATCCCGCGGAAACGAGAGAGAAGTGCACTCTATTTATATATCTCTGTGCATGCAACTCACTGGAATATTTGAAATGAATAAAAGTAATAGCTTTCTAGCGAAATTTTAATCTTTGAGCACTGAAAATTTCAAAGCAATTGGTCCAGTAATCAAAGAGAAAGGCGTTCGTTTTTTCTGAGACAAAGAACAAAAATAAGATGAAAAACAACAACATAATGTTAAAACGATCCGTAGGTCCACTTACGTGTCAAATACATAGGATCAAGATATGGCATCCTTCGCTCGCTCCATTTTTGTGTTTTTCAGGCCTGGAGCTGGCAACATGGCGATAGCATCGAGCTGTCACTAGGTGGCAGGTTGGCTATGTCGGCCTTTCTCAACGTGTTGGCCTTCCCGTGCCTCGCGTAATTTTTATTAGCGATATTGTTGAGCTGTTTTTGCAATATCATGGGGGCATATAAGTATATGAACGAGGTATGGCGCAAAAAGCAATCAGATGTCATGCGTTATCTTCTTCGCATTAGATCTTGGCATTTCAGACAGCTTTCAGCCGTTCACAGAGCACCAAGACCCACTCGCCCAGAAAAAGCACATAAACTTGGCTACAAGGCAAAGCAGGGATTTGTTATCTACCGTGTACGTGTTCGCCGAGGGGGTAGAAAGAGGCCTGTACCAAAAGGAGCAACTTATGGAAAGCCTGTTCATCATGGTGTGAATCAGCTCAAGTTTGCTCGGTCTCTCCAGAGTGTAGCAGAAGGTCGTGCTGGGCGTCATTGTGGAGCACTTCGTGTATTGAACAGCTACTGGGTGGCTGAGGATTCAACTTACAAATATTTTGAAGTCATTATGATTGATCCAATGCACAAAGTAATTCGACGAGATCCCAGCATGAACTGGATATGTAAATCCGTCATGAAACATCGGGAACTACGTGGATTGACATCTGCAAGCCGCATGAGTCGTGGCCTTGGCAAGGGCCATAGGTTCAACAAAACTAAAGGTGGATCTATTCGAGCATCATGGATAAGAAGGAATACTGTTCAAATGAGAAGGAAACGTTAGAGCCTCCAGATCTCAATGTATATTTTACCAACTTGTGTCAAAATACAGAGATACCATACATGATATTTGTGTTCATTGTTCAAAATGTCTGATCAACTACAGGTTTGAATAGATTACAATTCGAGATCGTTAGTGAGTTGGTTTGAATTTATGATATGTTCATTAGCGCAGGTGGTTACTATGGTTAAAAATAATAGTGTATTAAATATTATACTTGCTCAGTAATCCAAGCATGAGGTTAGGAGTTAACTTAGCTTACTATACCATAGTTTATTCATGGATTTGATAAACTGAGATTTCATCTGTCAGAGATGCACTATAAGAAGTTTCTTATTGGTCTATAAACCATCTCTCCATAAAATTGTACAGTAATAAAAAAATCTCCATTTCCACTTATGTTTTTTGTCATGAAATTTTATTATTTTGAAATATCAGTAATTTTCCTAATCCTATTTTTAATGAGTCCTGTGAATAAAATTTCTTTGGCCAGTTTTGGAGCAAAAAGATACCAATGATAAATCCTAGTTCTGAATCGACTGCAAAATCATGTATTCAAAATCTTATAAAGCAAACGATCGCACTGAAAACTAACAGGATGTAGTGAGAAAATTTCATTGTTACATTAAATTGAATAAAAGGGCTTTGGAATTCAAAATTTTTCTATATCGAACTGTGAGGACCAGAGAATCTGAAATCTGCAACAGAAACATATCTCAAATGGTTTGACATAATCGTTTATACATACCATAAATAGTATTCAATAATCCACACATGAAAAATTGATCATTTGCTTAATATTTTTAGATCAGGAACATTTCAAAACATATAATTTTTATATTGATTTTAACCATTAGTTAAATTGAGATTTCAGTTATTAGGAAATTACAGAAAAAATAATGTGTTAGAAGGCCAGACATAGGTATACCAAACTTCAATAATTCACTGGCTCATGTGACATAGTAATATAATCAGTTGTCGAGAATTCGAAATTTGGTGTAAACATAATGAACATGTTATGCCCTCTGCCATATGTCGCACCCTGCAAAATTTTCTGACGATGCTTCTTGTTGCCTCATAGTTTCAATAATTTTAATTCAAGAATGCAGACAATAGGACTGTTGCACAGTTGTCACTTGATATGCACAACCAAAAAATATCATTGTTACCAGCACTGAAGAGCTGGTTTAAAATCTTAATGGCTATAATTCCGAAGCTTCATTTTTTTTACCTCGGAAGCTGGACTGTTTGATAGGAACAAGACTCAAAACTATGATATAAGTAATTTTGAATTCTACAATTAAATCTCAACCTTATAAAATATACAAATTCAACTGAGAACTTCAAATTAATTTTGAAAATTAAATTTGAAAAAATGAATAGGTTCAAAAGGGTAGATTCAATTATGTGGATTACCTAATTATCAAGTGTCAAAAATAATTCTATGATTAGAAGCTGGGGCAACTAAATTTGCTGTCTCCATCTATTGTGGTACAGTTAACAATAACAATAGGATCCTTATATTATTATTTCTCAGAGGGATTTTCAAGAATTTGTCAAAATTCTACAACAATTTATAATATTCCATCAAGAAAACCAACTTTTTTTGAGATTTTGACGATAATGTCTATAAAATATATAGCTGTATTCCGTTGAGACGAATTAAAATAAGTTTGAAAAATACAAATATATAAGACATTAGTTAGAGTAGTTATTTTTATAATAACTTTAGCGACGATTAATGTCTGAGGGAATATACAATGTTTCTTATCAGTAAGACAAATCTAAAAATGGATGGACTATAGAATGTTTCCTATAGGACAAGTGCTTTTAATTATCATTGGCTAAATACATTGGATTAAATATAATATTTTAAATACATTGGATTAAATATAAGGATATTCTTCCGGTACCATCCAATGTGCTTTAAATATTTGTCCCTGATGTTAATAATTTCGAAACCGAAAAGCTTCTACCACGATACAGCTGATTGATTGCTATTAGATCCGTAGTTACACAGGAAATATAACAAATACAGTCGTCCCCGCGCACTGTAAAAAACGTGAGCGTCTCTTCCCATTTCGAAAGCAAATCTACAAAGCCCCAGTTACGTTGCCAATCGATTACGGCTTCCCAGAGGAAATTTTAAGTTCGTCAAGTTTTGTCACTTTCTTGAGGAATGATTTTTTTTATTTTGAAACTTGGCTACCTTGTTGACATTTTAGATGCTCAGTATGGTGACAGCACCTTTGCACCCGCGTACATTTGCACCTGCATACTCTTGCACTCATAGATTTTAGCACCCGCGGACATTCGCACCAATGTACATTTGAACCTACGAACATTTGCACTCATGGACGTTTGCACCCATGTACATTTTCACCCACGTACATAGCTCCCATGAACATTCACACCCACGAACGTTTGCACACATGTACATTTGCACCTGTGTATATTTGCATCCACGTGCATTTGCACCCACGTACACTTTCACCCACAGGACATTTGCACCCACGTACATTTGCACACACAGACATTTGCACCCACGTCTATTGGCTTCCATGAACACTCAACTCACTATCGGTGTTTTCACTACACACGAATCCTAGTTTGTTGCGACTCTATTACAGTTTACTTTCTAAATACAGATGGATTAAACCTTAAACTACTGGACCAATTGCTCTAAAATTTTCAGTGGTTAAAGATTGTATTTTTTGCTAGAAGTCCATTTTGTGTCCAAAATCAAGATGGTGATCAACAACAACATAATGATAAAAATACAAAATGAGCCATATGTAGGCTACACTTCGTGTGGCGGTGTCGCAATTGAGAATGACGATTGGTGCAAATATTCATGCATGTTAATATGTACGGTTGCATATTTAATGGCTTTAAACGTCTCTAATGTCTGGAGTCCAGAAATGTATGGAGGTTCAAATATGCTGGGTGCCGTTTACGTTGCAAATGTACGTGTGGGCTTTTCTCACCAATTACTAGACCAATTATTTTAAAATGTTCAGTGGTCAAAAATTGTAATTTTCGCTAGTTGGCTATTACTTTTATTTATTTCAAAAAATTTTGTTTCCTTGTGCGATGACGTCATCAAAATAGAAATTTCGCATTTCGTGGCGATAGTCTGCTGTTACAGATTGCATACCCGTAACCAGTCGTTCGCCTGTTCGTAGTTGTACGCGGAAGGGTAGAGACATGGCATCTTCGTACTCTGAGATTTTGAATAATCGTTCTGATAATATTCCATCGCAGAGAGATGAAAGAGTTGGAAAGATACGAAGACCACATTGTTTACATATTCAATTTTCGAAAGACGAACAATTTGACGAAGGAATTAGAAATGCTGCTAAAAGCATTGTTTTAAAATGCTTGATGAAAACTCATATCAAAACAATTGCAGTGAGGACATACAACGCTGTAGATATTACTTGTAACTCAAGAGCTGCGGTATTACAATTAGCAACGTTTTTAGAAGCTGAACCTCATACCATACTTAAATGGCATTTATATGAGCCGGAATTGATTGCAGCTGTGCAGACCTGGGTTTTCTTAAAACTGTAAAATGGTTAACGCTGGACGGTATGATACCCTAACAATTTTGATTTAGAAATCAGGTTGAGAAATAGAGAAATAACAGTCTCTGAGTCTGTCAATAGGAAAGAATCAATTTTCAAAATATTTTCTTTCTGAATGTTTTGTTATTCATACTAGGGTGCTATCCATTAATAATTTATCCATACATTGCAATTACTATAAGTGTTCTTTCCATTGAATATGTGAATTTCTTGCAATTTCAGTATTAATTCTGTAATCAGTTCATAGATGGTTGCTATTCTGTATTCAGTAACTGTGGAATTTATCCAAAATGTGGCATGAAGCTCGACGACAGGAAAAAAAAATAAGAAAATTTATAGTTGATCACAAAAAAAGATCTGAAAGAAGACATGAATACTATGAAAGAATAAAGCAAGATCCAACAAAATTTCTTCAGGTGTGCTTTCTACCATTGTGTTATTTCTGTATATATTATATAAAACATTTTTTATCTTGGGTCAACACTGCTGCTCATTATTTAGCCAGTTAGATTATAATGTTGATATTCTCAATTCAGGTTCATGGCCGCAAGGCGAAAATTCACTTGGATGGAACAGTTGCAGTGGAAGCAGACAATAATCATCATATGATGCCATGGCAGGGAGATAGCAGCAATATGATTGACAGGTGTCTATTTTGGCATTCTTCGACATCATTCAGTACATAGGATTATTATTCGTATTATATTGTAGAAGCAAATTTCACTGAAACAGTTATTTTGGTCATCTAGATTTTTAAATCACATTAAATTTTTAATTGAATCGTTTTCATATAATTTCTGCCAATTACAGGTTATAAGAACTCTATGTTGCATATTAGATGTGGTGATAGACTGTTCAAGGTTTAATATTGTGCCATTATGAAATGTGTATAGTTATAATTTTTTTATATGATGCTTGGTCATGCCTTTCACTCCTAACAAGCCCTGTTCAAGCAGCCACTGATATCTAATGATATGTAAGTAGGTACTATTATTAGGAGGGACCAGAATCTTTCTGGTTTGGCATTGCCGATACAATTTCTAACACATTGAGTGAAGTAATCTGCAATGCAAATACATTTTGATCTATTTGTGACGCTGTTTTTTCTCTCTTTCCATTCAGATTTGATGTTCGTACACATTTAGATTATTATATACCTACAAAGAAGGAATCTGATGAATTGGTCACAGAAGAAGAAATAAAATGCAATTTTGAACGTTACAGGGTGTTAATTTGGAATGAATACAAGTGTGTAAAATTGTGATTATAGTAGTAGAAACAACAACATGTGTACGGATTCAATATCTCTCACTGTTTCTGGCTGTTTGCTTTTCAAATCCTTCGTTTTTCTTCAGTGTTTTATGATATGTAAGTTGATGGTGGGCTCTGAATTAGCAGATGATGATCAATCGATCTAATATCATCATCATTCAGACAGAAAATTCATTTTTATAGTTCCTAATACAGGCAAGATATCAAGCTATGAATCATGTTTTTAGACGTGTTTCGGAGCATCAACATCTTCGACAAATTTATATTGAGGAACAGTTTCCCGAGATTGCTGCAGAACAGAAGCAAAGTGCTGAAGCACAGAAACAGATTTTGGCGCAGGGTCGAGCTACCATTGGATATAATTATGAAGTGGATAAGAACAACTCGAGTGATTACATCTCGAAACGAAAAGCCGGAGATGGTGGGGTGATTAAGTAAATTTATTATTGTTCCTAGTGCTCAAGTGGCCCTTGCAACTATTCACTGGTGATATTCCTACCTCTCATTGAGGCATGTGACTTTGATTTTAGCAAAAAAAACTGTAAGCATTCCACTGATAATGATCATCATCGCTCACATCTTCAAATTTAGTTTACAAAAGTCATGTTCAATATCAAATGACCCCTCAGCAATTGATATTCCTATAATATTTATGAAACCTACCTTTTGATTCTTGCTTGTAAATATTGGACAGTCAATCATTCTTTGGGGAAGCTATTACAAGCAACTAATAAATTTTATGTCCGACCAACGATATAGCATAAGGGCGATGACTGAATGTATTCAATAAGATCATTTGTTTTCAGTATAAATTCATATTCCTAGTTAAGAAAATTGCTTCCAGGCTGCCTCCGTCCCACTAGAATTATGTTTGCTTTTTTAAATATTTACTCAACAATATCATGTGGGTGAATCATCTAATATTGAGGAAATTTAAACATTGCTTGAATCTGGGAGAAGAACAATTGAAATGTAATTCCCATTCTCACATTAGCGCGGCATGATATCAGTGGCAGAATGATCGAGAACTCAGTATATTGATTGTTAGGTTATGGGTTCGAGCCAGATAGCTGCTTTATATGTGAAATACATGCTTGAAACAAACTAAGTTAATTGTGTGGCGTGTCCAACTTGTTCCAATGCTTTGGTACAAAAGAGTTGGTCAAAGTGACACTGTAGTATACATTATCAATTATATAAAAAATTCTTAAGAAGAAGATAATTTATTCTTGTGTGGCATTGAAAATACGGTGAAATGAAAGCAACATCCTAACCAATCTAACCAAGTTAGTTTTGCATTAAAATAGAATGTATTATTTACAGAAAAAATGGTTGATCGAATCATACAACCTGTGATTTTAATTTATTTCAGATCATTATAATGTCAAACAGTCATTTTGAACTACAAATATATATAGAATATAACTTGTAAAAAGGTTGTGCTCTTTTTCTACACTGGGATTTCAGTTTTTCATGTGCTAGAATTCTAGGTGGATAAATATTCTTCACCCTCAAGTTCTCAACATACTGTCTGAATTGTTTTATTTATTTGAAGTCATATTTATTCTAATAAAATCAGTAATGACAATTTTATGTCGTGGGTAAGCAAATGTACATAGTTTTGATGACAACTTTATTATATTTTTTGGACACTGCAATATCCATTATGTAAAATTATGTTTATGGACTGACATTATTGAAAACCACTAAAGAAAATCCTTAATCACATCAACAAAGACTGCTCTCTAAAATGTTCTTGTGGCAGACATTGAGTTGTAGGTGCAGTTAATTCCTGCCAAAACCACCTTAGTTTATTTGTTGCCATCATCGGTGACGAATTATAGATCCCTCTCACTCACTCACATACATAAATAATTAACTTACTTCAATGTAGACATAAAGCCAATGTAATGGGGATAAAGTTGATCAGTTGTGTTCTATTAGTACCATGTTTTTTATTTATAGAAATGACTGTTTTACATTTTAATAGATGATGAAGAAGAAGAAGATGATGATAAGGATGATTTTGACATCACTGCAGAATTGGAAGAAATTCCACCACTTTCCGAGATTAGTATGGAAGCAATAACGGCTCTTGATGATATTGGTGTTAAAAGCTACAGTCTCCGGCGAGGAGGATTTGGTGATTGTTTACTAGATGATCAAGATTATATAGATAAAATTGGAGCAGCAAAAGCACTTGAAAGTGAGAAGCAAAAATTTTCCGGAAGAAAATCTAGGAGGGAACGCAAACTTCTAAAAGATGAAAGACTGAAGGTTTGTACTGTGCAAAAAATTGAATCTTCTGCTTTACTTTAAATGTAGATTGACTGCCATTACATTTTGATTCTTTAACTCTGCTTCATAATAACCTACCGTATATTTTATTGTTTTGAAATTTGGCTATCAGAATATATTCATTGTTTTGTAGGGAAGAAAAATAAGTGCATTGAGTTATGTTCAACAAGAATCTAGCAGTACAAGTAGTGAAAGTTCAGGTAACAAACGTTCAAATTTTCTGTAAAAACAACTAAACTGAAAAATATTGCTGTAAATCATAACGGTCGGTCGGTTGAAACATTACAGAAATACATTTATGTTAGTGTGCAGCTGGACTCTAATTGGATAGAATAGTCATGTTTATTCCAGCTACAGCAACCCTGCAGTACACGGAAACGGATTCACTAGCATAAAGGCATAGAGGAAAGATAGAGAGTTAATCTTGCGCAACCCAACTCAAAATCATCACTGTGAACTTCTAGTAATGATCAAAAGAAAACACTTTCAAGTTGATAATTGACCGCATTTTTGTATGCAGCTCAATTAGAATACTTTCCTTCCGTTTTGTTAACACAATTATTTTTATTAGAAGACGCCAGTTCATCTGAAAGTACGAATTCTGATTCATCTGATGAAGATGAAAAATCTAAAAGAAAATCTAAGGGTAATATTGAATACATCACTTCCTTTGGAGGAGAGCAGGGAAAGTATGATATTTTTAGTTCATTACTCTTTCAACTGATCCAACAATGATATTTGAAACCATAAAGTTTATGAAACCGGATATTTGGCATTTATTTTAAATCAAATTTTCCCAGACTGGGAGGCATTTTGTGGTTCTTGGGGAAGAAATATTACTTTGTTTTTCATTTAATATGGTTTAGTTATTTATTAGGGTTATTGTAATACATATTTTTGCATGAATTTTGAACTATTCAAACTGGGCAAATGACAGAGTGCACCTTGCACATAGTTTTTATGAAAGTGGGAGTGATATAAAGGGTTGCAAAATGGGCAAAGGGAGGTATTCTTTGGAACAGTTTGGGAACGACTGTTTTAGATAGGTATAATAGATTACAAAAATATTCTGAATTCATGACTAGATTATTTATTTTATTCCATTTTTATTTCTGCGCATACATTTATTATTTAAAATATGTGTGCTTCGCAAATTTCCACATATTTAGGTGATTTTAGTAGTACTTTTTTACCAAATATTATTTCATCATTGTTTTTCAGAAACTGTCCAAAAAGTAACAACAGCATCACAAAGGAGCCAAAGAAAAGTAAGGCTGACACAAGAAGTAGAAAATATAGAAGAAGATCTCATTCACATTCTCCTGAACGCAATAGATCAAGATCTCGATCAAGGTCACCAAGATATAGAAAGTAAGTTTTCACAACAAATATGAACTGCCAGAGTGCTACTACTTTTTTTGTTCGTAAAATTTCGTGGGCTCTATGGGATTTTTCGATGATGACTCCCACAAAGTTAAAAGTTTGATGTGTGATGACATATACCTAATTTTTTGACAAAAAAGATGACTGGTACTGTAAAAGATTTGATACGACTTCTTTATAGCCTTCGTGTCCTTATATTTGAGCATTGCTCTCTTATATTACTTACCGTAATATACTTCTTCAATATAGGAACTACCGGTAATATTTTCCAAAATGAAAATTGATCTTTTAGGCTTTGCTTGAACTGGCAGTTGCTATATTTGTGTGATAATATGAAATCTTGACAAATCAACCTGTTATGCAATTGAGTTTTGTGTAATTAAAAGAAAATTACTATAAAGTATTACCTGGATGATACTCGCCTTTCACTGGTTTCATTTAATCATAATTTTCAAGAGGTCTATTTTAAAAATACTTGCCTCGGCTCACATGCAATCAGTGTGACTTGATTTCATTTTCATCACAAATTGAAATATTCTTATTTGAACATGTACATGGGAATTTTTTCATCTCAACACCCATTTCATCACAGATCTTCAAGTCGGTCACGTAGATCTCGTTCTAGATCATATGAAAGGAGGAGATCAAGATCACGATCAAGAGATAGGACGTCAAGATCGAGGCAACAAAAAAGGTTTGTCATCTTTGCATCTCCATGATAGTTATCAGTAGTCAGAATAGGGAAAACTTTTGTATGTTTGATTCTTGCATGGTGATGAGTGCAGACTACAAATGAAACATTGCCTGGTTGGCTACATGTGCTTACATATTTGACAAAATCCATTTTTAATAAAACTTTTGAAGCAACAATAATTCTTGGTTATTATTTGAATATGTTGTCCTTGTGTGTTGTACAGTGATTTATATTTCCATTGATTTTCATAAGTTTTTTTGTTATTAAGGTCCAATTATTCCTCTGTTGCGAATATAAGCTCAACTTCACAAAGTAGCGAAAATATTTTGAAAAGCTTGTCAAAAACGAAAACAGCTGAGGAAAAAGCAGCTGCTTTGCAGAAATTAACTCCGCAACAAAAACTTAAAATAAAAATGCAAAGAGCTTTGAACAAACAGGTAATTATTATATTCAATGCAGCCATTTTAATCATTTACACTTGAGCAAAATTGATACTGAATTATGGATTCTGATAACATACACTTATTGTCATTTGTCATATCTGTTATTGAATATGTAGAGTAATATTGCTGCTACACAACACTTATTACACTTGCACTCAAAAAACTAAATATTTATGGAAATTTTTATTTTTGCCAGAAGATGGCCTGTGAATAATTGTTTTTTATCAATATTTTACATTAATATTCATGGTTCACCCTCAACTTCGTTTTATGCATAATTCACTCCATTAGGACAAAAAATACCACAAATGACATTGGAAATACCACTATTCCATTTTCTAATATTTCCACATCCTGCTAAGCTTATATTCCCAATATCTCATTCAATATTATAATGGATTTGCATTATCTGTTCAGTTAAAAGTGGACCGCAATGCTGACAATGAAAAGCGAATAATTAAACAACAAGAAGTGATGGAGAGAGATGATGATATCCGAGAAATGTCAAGAAAAATGAGACAGCGAGCTGGTGAAAGGTGCCTTCGCACACATAAATGATTAGGGCTGGGCATTTTCGAATATCTGATCATTTCAGAATTGAATCATATATTTTTTTCGAAGCGAATCTTGAATATTTGGAATATATTCATATGTATGTGGCTTTTTGATTATGATGATCCTCCAAGCACATAAATTACTGAAAACATAGAATTCGTCCTTCAGACAGTTTGCTGAGCGTTCACACACAACAAGAAACATGTTTCATCAATACCTCACAAGAAATAAAAGAGTCATATGTCAAAAAACAATATGGCGGCGGTTTGAAATGCCCAGCATAACTATTCGATTCGAAATGCCCAGCCCTATATGATTATGTTTCTTTCATTCATTCAGTTCTAAGCATTGTTAAGTTTTGTACTGTATGGTTTTGAAATGGCTTAATTGCAGCACAATCATTATTTTGCCTAGTTGTAATAACTTTGTACTTACCGGTACATACTACCGAAATAGCTGTAATTTTAAACAGCTTTATGTATGAGAGAGAGAGAGAGATTTATTTCGTCAACCAGAAAAAAACAGTCATAATAATAAATAAATAATGGCTATCGATATAGACTGGAAGGAGTGATACGACCATGCGGTCAGGTACTTGCATTACTTTGTTTTTCATTATGTAAGTTTAACTTTTTGGTTATTTCAGACGTGAATATACGGACTCACCTTACCACTGACTCGATGCTTTTATTGGCCATGTCAAGAATTATCAGCGAAATTGAGGAGCATGCATACTTTAATGTTTGCTATCACTCAGAAACGCAATGGAGTAGACTATAAACTGCTTTTGGATCTGAACTGGTTTCAAGATATGACAATCGAATTCAATTTTCCCCTACAGTATGTGCAGTTATTTTCATCTCCAAGCAAGTTTGTGCGCTGTCAACTGGAACCAATAATTGATGGAGAAGTTAAAATGCATACAAGAATGGGGATTTGCTGACACCATATAGATGTGTAGTCGATACTGGGTTAACTGATTTGAGCCCTCCAAGTCAGAAAAACGATTTTAGACTGCAAAATCTGAGGTTTCCTTTGGCAGGAAATTTCATAGAGAAACCATTGGTGCAACTCGAATTTTATTGCAATAATCTGGTCAGAAAAAACGTAGCCCTTCGAATTCTAGTTATTGGAAATTTTCAAATCGTTTTGTATGTGCCTACTTCGTAGTTGTGTACAAAGTTACACTTATATTGTCTCTTGATTATTCACCTTCATAAGTTATGATTGTTATAAAGATAAAGATTAAAATAGCAATGCCTTCTGTAGCAAATATTGAACAAGTTTTATTCTGTTTTTAGTTACTCAAGTTGATAGCCCAATAATCCTCTGTGGAGGAGACCATTTCGATGGTGATAGTGGACTGGTGCCTTATGTCATCATTGCTAGGGGATAGATTTGGTAGACTGATGAGCAATTTTGTGCATTATTATTGAAATTCTGTAGTTTTGTTGTGGTTATGTTATACTTCTGATGTCAGATACATTGTTCAAACAGTTTGATTTAATACATGTTTATTGAGAGATTCATTCGTAAATGGTACAATTTGAAATACTGTATTATGGCAAGCAAAAATAGTTAGCAGTCTCTGACAAACTGGCTTCAGAAACCGATAATAGGGTTAGCCATTTAGATGGTTACGAATAATTAATTCTCGGGTGATCCTTGGATTCATAATATCATCAATTGACTTACTCCAGGGGATGCAACAATTAACTCTTGTATAATGGTTATTTGTATTTCATATACTGTATAGCGGTCGATCAAAAGTGTATCACTGTAATAGTCTGCACTGCAGCAACAAATGCGAACACTGATATAAGCAAATCCATATTTTCAGGATATTGTGGCGAACGTTTCGAATTTACAATGTGCCCCACCGGTAGTCAAAAGTCGTAGTCAATCGTGATTCCCATTTAGCATCAGCAGAGAAATGCTAAATTATTTATGTCATTAGTTGATGCACTCTGTAAATTCTTTTAGTGGCCCGGAGTAGGCTACATGTTAATCAAGTCATCGATCCAGTCACACTAGAATGATTTTGGCGTTTAGAAGGCCGTTAATCTCTGTTCTCGAGTGGGAAAGCGTTCGTCCGGGCAATGGGAATTTTTTCAAGTGGCATTGAGGGTGGGGGCAGAGCCTCCGTCCCGGCAGTGGTGAGAAAACGTTTGAAACGCCACGCCCACTTGTTACCTAATCCTAAAAAGTCGCTTTTCTCTTTAATTACTGGACCAATTGCTCTGAAATTTTCAGTGCTTGAAGATAACAATTTTTTTTAAAAGGCTTTTACTTTTATTTACTTCAAACGTGTCTATATATTTGAGCATAGCTCACCTAGTGTACAGATAGCTGTGATAGACTAAGCTACAATTCTTTACCGGTACATTTAAAAAACAGATTCTTGTATGCGATGAATCATAATGATGGTTTGAAACACATACTCCATTTTACAGGCGCCAACTAGCAAAAGCACTCTTAAAATAGCCCCGGAAATTTTGCAATGGTAAAGTATATTAACGACTAACTAGTCTGAGCGGATGCGAAAAGAGAGCACTGTTATGTCACTTTGCATTTTGAGTATATGAAGTATTTTTCGGGGGTCAAGGGTCGGGGAAAGGTCCATATGTCTGTGAACTCATCGTCAAGTTAATTATGACGTTTGCGCATAATTGGTATCCATTTTGGTGAAGTCAAAGTTGTTCATTTGGTGAATTAGAGACTTCTGCTCGTGACCTAACTCCTAACACACCAACAAGCAAAAAATTCTGATAATCAAGTATCCGAAATTTCACAAACATAAAGTAAAGAACAGAGTACTTTCGGGTCAAGGGTCACAAAAAAATAAAAATTTTCTGATCTAAAGCGCAACTTATATTATGGTATCGACCTGATGCAAAAGGCTTTGTTTAGACCGCAAGCGTGATCCTACCCGTGAGGTTATTGCTAGATTTCGCTAAGCGGTCGACGACGTTTGTTCGATATTCTAGAGAGAGATGACCAACAAACGTATCCAAGTTCCAGAGCCAGATCAGTCAAAAAAAGATGAACCAGACCAGCATGTTATGAACCAAGTTGCTGAATTGAATGCTTCGGGTAGTGACACCGATGATGAGGCCTATGATATGGATGTTCATGGGTTAGTAAAGAAAATATTATGGTGCTGGTATCGGTACGGTTTAAAATCTCTATGTTAATCAAAGTTGACCAATCCCCTATGCACATTGTTTTGTTGCAGAATGTTTACTTGTTCGATTTCCATTTAAGTCATTTACTGTTAAATCAATATGCAATACCGGTACATCTTTACCAAATTGTTATATTTATATTAGCTCCACCTGACAACAAACATAAAATAAAAATGATTTTTTAAACTATTACTAAAGACAGAAAGACGCTTGCTCAAAAGTTGTAGAAAATAGAGTCATGCTGCTAATTTCACCAGTTGTTCCCTTCATACATTACTTATTACGGTAACTGTAAAGCAAGCAAATATATATGGGCCATTTTTCAGCTCTAGTGTATATTTAAAATGCTTAAGAATAGATCTCCACATTCACAATAGGCATTAAAGCTACATTTTTTGAATCGAGAGTGTTATTTTAATTGTCAACCTTGACCTGTGTATATGTACATGTTCGTTTTACAGGTACCTGCCACTAACATTATCTGAAAATGATGCTGGGATATCAGAGTTTCATGCAGAACCAATGGATTCTTCAGATGATGAAATGGCTGAAGAAAACGACGAGGTGTCTCACCAGGAAAAAAGAGAATTAACAGTTAATACTGGTAATTTTTGTATAAGTGTTTTATAAACACTTACCATTTCCATCAGGTTCAAAAACACCCAAATATTTTTCAGATCTTGTCCTTGATGCAATGAAAAGTATTTCACTTCCACAAAGCAGCATTCCATCTTGGGCAGATGAGCTCTCAGAAAATGATTGGAACAGCATGATTCAAAGGACTATTACTGGAGAAAAAAAAACTGTGCAGCAAAGTCTGAGCCAGAGTTGTGCTGTCACGACAGACAAACGAGAATCAACTTGACAGCCTGCTTTGTACCAAACAATATTGGTGCAATATCAGTGATCCATTTGAAACCGTCAGATTTGCCCCATTCAGTATTACATATTTTTGAAAAAATATTTTAATGGTGAAAACGAATCGCACATGGTTGTGAAAAATAATTGTGCCAAAGAAAATAAAAACTACAGTGAAATGAAATAAAAACATCAAGAAGAATACAGTGTGAGAAAATATCCTGTACATATATGAAAAAATTGGCAAGACTGCATTAAGATCCTATCTTTTTATATTTTGCTGTTTTGAGACTTTCAATTTTCTTAAAAGCGATTATGCAATGTAAATTCCTCCCTTTCTTTTTGGTCTTCCTTTCTTGTACTCCACGATGTGTTTGGCGAATATCAAAGTAGTATGGGGACTCTGAGTGCAAATCTTGAAGTATATCACACCATCTAAAGAAAATGGTTATGGGTATACATAAAACACTGCCGTGATGAAGGTTATGGAATGAATATAAAAGCAGCACCTACTTTTTACAATGAATAGGTGGGTGACATCTACTTGGCTCTCCAATGAAAAACCAAGTTGTGCATGGGATCGTACATGTCAAAGATTCTGTGGAGTCTCTTTCAAGAATACTGGTGAAAGCGTGAGTGGGGAGATATGCTTCTGTTGGATTCTGCAAATATGAAAATAATCACAAAAAACTTGCTATAACTTCACAGTGAACAACAGACATACCAGTGGTGTATCCTCGTATCCAATCGGACAGAAGTAGTGATTCAAACAATGGTAAATAAATCCCATTTTTTCATCTACAAGACCATTTTTCAATTGTGTAATCGCACTTTCATCAGTCATTGTTCGTGTCTGCAAGCGGCCTGAAATAAGATGATATTGGTCCAGCTTATGAGAATAACCTGTTTTTTGCATCATGGATTTTTATATTTTATCAAGTAATAGCTTGAGGCTGCGTTTTTTATTATCTAACACTGGTTATTCCGTATGAAGTCACCTTGTAATAGATTTTTGAAAAACAAGTTATGATTGGTATCATATCATTGCAGCAATATGTTAAATCTTATACAAAGGTAATTAATATATAGTTTTACTTAAATACAATTGCGAGAGTGTTTTTTAGTTTCAGTATATATTAAGATATTTCATTTGGGAACAAGTACTGTATCCAACTAACTGATTGTACCTTTCGGTTTGTAGAGATAAAATGCTCGTCCATGAACACCATAACGTTCATTCAATCGTCTGAACCATCTCATCAACGTAGCATTTCCAGTAAATGGGCCAAAACGTATTTCTTCGAAAGGTGGTTTAAAACCCAAGCAATGTAGAGCCGCTTCCTGATATTACATTAAATTTTGTTATACATTGTGAATTAATTACTCACATGTTACATTTAACTGAAAGCCCTGTATTAAAATCCACAGTACATTACTGTTGCGATTAGTTTGATCACATTATATTTGATTTGCAAATTGCTCGCACAATCATATCTTGATTAGATAATTCACATACACACTTTGAGAAGTTTTCTAACAAAAGTGTGTAACAGCATTAAGAGTTTAGTGCAGTGGTTTCCGACTGTTCTCGATATATTTAATGACGTTTATACACCGTTTTGCCATGAACTTATAAGACTGAGACATAAAATGTGTATGTGAATTATCCATTTGATATCTGACTGAGCGAGCAAACTAATCCTGACTGTTGAAAATTTAATAAAGGCTATCAGTTAGTTGGAACATGTGAAACTGATATTTTGATGTTTGCTAAGTTGGGAAAAGCTGGTGTAGTTACTAGTTAATCATGTAACTTTTTTAGCTAGTGAACATATATTACCATTACCATACTTGAGTAATCGGAGGCAATGTTCCTGTTCCTAAGTTGCTGTAAAGATAATTCCAGACTGAGACAACCGAAGAAAGACCACAAGATTTCTTATACTGGGGCCTTGAAATGCAGTGCCATCTTCTTAAGTCAAGAACTTTCCTCTCAGCAAGAATTTCGTTCGTCAACCCGGACAAGTCAGGGCCTTGGGATCTGAAATATAATTACAGTTTTAGAATTGTTGCTAATACAGAAGTTTATTATTAAACCTAAAATCTTTATTATACTTTTCTTGACTTTCCCTTGCAGATCTCCTAAATTTAGTCTTTGAACTCTTCTGAGCAGACTTTTTCAGATCACTGCCTACATCAATTTCCCATGCTGTTGAACTCAAACAAGGATCACCACCTGCAGGATTAGAAAGTATGGTGCTAAAATTATCCGTGGTACATGGCTGGCTGGTTACAACAGTACTGTCAAGTGTCTGCAAACTTTTTAAATTTCTAGCAGATTTAACAAAAATTTTCCCCTTCACACCTAAGGTTAATGGCTCGCTGTCTGATTCTTCTGAACTTGACGACACTGATGTTTCTTCCATCACGGATCCTTCAATTACAGAATGTGTTTGTTCGGGTAGTAGAAAACCATTTTTCTTTTTCGACATATCATTATAATGGTATTTTGTTGGTGTTTTGGGTTTCACGGATTTCAAGCTTTCGGATATAAATGTGGAGGACTGCCCCAAACTATGTTGTGATTTGCTCACTATGGTATTGTGGTTTGCATCATCTTCAAAACAACTCTCGTACTCTGAATCACTTTCATCAACAGGGGTGTGGTTAGTGCGGTTTATGTCAGGCAAAGCATCACCAATCTTTGGTCTCAAAATACTTAGTAAAGAGCCCATTTTACATTTCGGTACTCTTGTATATTTATTAAGAAAAAATATCAAACTGTTCAAGACATCTGGAATATATTGAAAATTTGAATTAGTTTTACCATTGCTAAGGACAGAAGGAGTAAAAATGATACGTTAAAAATTTTTCCTATTAAAACTTCTATGTCTGTACCTGGATGTCTTGTAGTATTTCTACCATCACAGAATACTTTTTTGCCACCAAACAGCCCTACATAAGTTTAAATCAGTAGTGTAGCACAATGTCTAAATGTATGCTTGAATTAGATTTGTCAGTATACAGGTATACTAGACATGAATGACAGAATGCTGATAGTCAGATGCTTCTGAACAATTAATTTGTTTGAAAATGAATTATATCTGGATACAAGAGCTTTTTGGTACCGTGCCATTTGTATTTGCAGTCTTGTGTGTCTCTCCATGACCCAGTCTGGATTTCATGGCCTTTTTGAACGAGAAATCGGGCGTGCAATCAGAAATTCCCGCGTGCAAATAAGAATTCCTGGCGTGCAATTATAGCTCACGACGTGCAAAACAACTGCACTCGCGTGCAACTGACTTTGACATCAGAAACCTCTCAATACATCCGCGTAAAATTACCGGTATCGGATAAAAAATACGTTGAATCAGAGAAAAAATGGACGTTTGACCTTTGACCCCAAACCTCATTTCTACAGTTTGTCGCTAATTTTGAGAGTGTTTGTGCGACTTTGGATACCGGTACTGTTCAGTACATCCGCGTAAACTTATTGGATAAAAAATACGTTGAACCAGAGCAAAATGCACATACTTTGTCATTAATTTTGGTAGTGTTTTTACGTAGAATTAATGGATAAAAAATACGTCAAATTAGAGCAAAATGGACGTTTGACCTTTGACCCCAAACATTATTTTCATACTTTGTCACTAATTTTGGGAGTGTTTGAGCAACTTTAGATACCGGTACTGTTCAGTACATTCGTGTAAAATTATTGTATGAAATATACGCTGAATCAGAGCCGTACTTGGCCATTGGTGCGGAGGCGATCTTTTCGTCCATAACTATTCTCACGGGATTCCTATTTCCTATCATTCAACACGATATGGACCTTTCCCCGAACATCGACTTCCTTGTTTACTTCGTGACATTGGCCAATCAGTAAGATGCAAAATGGACGTAACAATGAGAGGAATTTTTCGCGGATCAAAGTTTGGGGAAAGGTCCATGGTCTTTTTGCTTCGCAATATTTCGATCAGACCAAATCTTGCAGGCTGGTATTTGTCGACAATTGTGGAGTTATAATATTTTGGCATCTTTATATTACTGGATTATTGATTTTAAAACCATTTAAACCGATTTACATTGGTGAGCAATTGCAAATTTTCGGCGTGCAAAATTGATTTCGCTCGCGTGCATTTTTGCGGTGCGCTAGCGCCCTCGGGCGTGCACCTGCCATGGAATCCAGTCTGGTCCATGACCAGACTGCCAGATGACTGAACCAGGTGCTCGTACACGCTAGCTCAACCATTGTCATGGAAAGGGGCTGCTATGGTTGGACTTACTAAGACCACAACCGTGCGGATGCGTCCAGACTGCAAGATGACAAAGTCTTCTTTCAGTCTTAGCTGTTAGATTTACAAGTTTTATTGCTAATTAGACCTGAAATGCTGTTTCTTGTCTGAATGCGCATAGAATCGGTTTGGAATTCAAACAATACCGTAAGGTGTAAAACGCGGGCACATATTACTCTATAATTCAAGTCTTACATCTGTACAATGTTCTCAAAACCAAAATATCAGACACCGGTAAGCAAGGTAAGGTAGTAAAGCTAACCCGTTAACCACCTTCGCTTGATGAGTTGACCATATCGAGTTGGCCGCCGTGACTAGTAGCCCTCACCCTATTTTACGCGATGGTGCTGGGAAGTTCGAGTGAGTGATAGTCGTGCTCGTGTATAAATTACTGAATATTTATCAAAACTGCTTCATAATTAACTTTAAATATATAAAATGTGCTTCTGAATAATATTGATACTCTCTACGGGGCGAGGCTAACTCGACAGCATTACAGCGGCTCCTGTAATCGGGTATGGTAGGTACCGGTACCGTATACAAATTTTGCAGAGTTTTTCGAATATCTTCAGTCGTTTTTGATATCATAGATTTCAAATGTTTAAGCCAGTTTATATATAACCTGAATTAATTTTAGCAACACCGCACGGAAAATATCACAATTCTCATGATCATTAGAGCGTAACCATTGCACTAACCAATCATTCATCCGCGCGCTGTGCTTTGAATGCTTGTGGCTTTGTTGATATTTGGCTTTGGGGGTCGGGAGGTTTTGCTGGTTCCGTTAATTCTGCCATTGAAGCATTGCAAATGCAACACGAATTTTACTACATAACTTGAGCAATTGGAACACAGATTTATCATGGAATGTGAAGATAAATAGGAATGTAACTTGAATCCTATCAATGTCAGCATTTTGCATCTGATACCGTCAGACCGTACCGTACGGTACAGCCGTAGACTACCCGGGTAGTGCTGTAGCCTAGTGATACCGGTAAGTTGGATTGGTTAATAATATTAACTACAGAACTATATTAATAATACTGTAGTATAGGGCAGTAGGGGTGGATTTGCATATTAAAATAGAGTAAAAGCAATAACACGGCTCAATCATATGGTGAAATACGGCCTGACGGCCTCTCATCTCCGATTTCAGGATTACCAATCCTGCAATCCATGTCCGGTACCAGTAGGTAGGTAGGGTGGTGTAGCCAGTCTGCGCACGATTTCATTCAAACCACTATAAAACAAAAACCAATATTTCTAACCCGTTAATTTTTTCACCGTAAGTGCATTGGCATTTATTCTACATGCTGAACTTCGAATTAACTTTCTACGACCAGGGGTTAAAGCTATACAAACCACCAAAGTACGACACTCTGAAGACGTACTGGTATTTGCGACCAGTGTGCGATCACGGATTTCAAGCCTTGAACATCGTTTCTGCTGCGTCGTCCAAATACATAAAAACCAAAGTGCATGAGAATAGTCACCACATTTAAAGACATCAATTTTAGTAATGAATAGAAACCCCGGGTCTCGTGTAGTTTCATACCTAACGTACTTCTAGTGGGCGTAGCATTAGCATATTATTTTATTATGTCACTGTGACATCGTAGTGACATAATTTTTGGATGGCGTAATCAGGTGGGGGTTAGGATTAACATATGCAAAAATTGTTATGATACGCTCACTAGAAGTACTTTAGGTACGAAACTACACTAGACCCCAAACCCCCCTATACCAGACAGTACGGACCTTCATATCGGCAAACCGACACTAGAAATAAACTAAAAGGAAGCGCAATCTAAAAACCTCACCATTTAGTACGGCTCCTCATACAGCTCCTCATTGTCTCATTTCAGAGAATCCCATTTTGGCGATGAACAAACACTTCTTCTTTAAGTTGCACAAAAAACTACAAAGAAGTGCAATCTAAAAACATCATCATTGAATTCTTCAGGAAAAAATAATCCAAGTCACAAACGGAAAAATATTCTACCGTGGCATGCGTGAATTTAAAGCAAAAAGCGGCAATTTTGGTCACATGACTGCTACAATTAATTTATATCATTATTGAGACAAACATGATGCGATATGACGTATCTGCTGTTGTACAGACACCCATCATTTGTGAGACACATGGCATGTCTATTTTATCATTGAAGCAAATGACAGGACATTCTTGGAATTTAGAAAGTGTGCTGTACTGCCATTGAATTCCTTAGAAAAAATAATCCGATTCACTGAAGAACAGAAGGATAAATTATTTTACTGTTGCATTTGAGAGTTTTAAGCAAATAACCCCAATTTTATCGTGTGATGGGCCATGCACGCTATGATTGACTTAAATTATTATTGAGACAAGCATGGCGCGATCTAACGCATATGCTGTCACGCCAGACTCCGTCGTTTCAGAGACAAATAGAGTGTTCGTGTTATTTAACCAAATGTCAGTGTATTGCGGCCCCATTATAACAGAGAATAGTTTAGTGTACAAGACCTTGTTTGCCTATGTCACAATTGTTTGTCTCGACAGAACACAGAAGTCTGATATTGATCGCCAATTTATACAAAAAACTTGCAAAATAGGTTATGATAAGTTTTGCTTTGGCAAAAAAATTACCAACATTGGCTATTCAGGGGTATACTACAGGAAATGGATCTGTATAAAAAAGGTCAAACTTAAATTTGCATGTATGAGAGCGAATAAACACTATTGTGTTTCATTTATTTAAACCACAGTTGGATTATTATACAAAAGAAATAGAATCAACATAATGTTTCTGTAAGAAATTTATTCACTTGTTTTTAGCTTACTTATTGTAGGCATATTTTTGAGTTTATTAAACACTGTCGTTTTTGGATTCTGGACGATTTATCAATCATCCTTCAAAGTCCAGTAGTCATGTTGTCCTCAGATTTAAAGTCAATGAAAAGAGCTGAATTACAGAAGCTGGCTAAAAAACATGGAATAAAAGCAAATTTGAAGGTAATTTGTTTATTCTTATAGCTTGTTAATCATACTCCAAATGATAATTTATTTTATAGTATCTGTGATAAGCCCTTAAAGTGAAAAACAATCAAAATTTATTCATGATAGTTAGTGATTTCAATTTTGATTATATTTTTATACCAATAATCACTTTTTTTTTATTTTGCAGACTGATGGAATTATTGCAGCGTTGCAGTCAGTATTCGATGCAGAAAAAGAAAATGCAAAAACACCTGATACTTCACTGGTAGCACAATCAAAAACACCAGTTAATGTGGTATAACATTATGACAAAGTTAATTTGAGTTCGCTTTCGTGCCATGTTCAATGTTTTTTTTTTAGCATTAGCCTTTTTGGTCATTAATGATTATGATGATTAATATGATCTTGATTAATAATTATCTTGCATTCTCTGCAGGATTATTTGCAAAATATAAAAATTTATAAGATATTTCCATCTCTCTAATATATCTTAATGAAGTGCATTACTGTATTACCATAACCTATGAGTTTTGTTGTGTTATATTTTATTATTTTTCTATTTTAGTTTCCAACTCCGCCATTAGACGAAGCAGAAGATTTGTTCTCAGTCAAACCACCATGGAATAATAGCGATTTAATGTCTTTTGTGAGAACAGTTTATTATATTTTTCTTTCATCAGAAAAACACGATATTGTGTTGTAATTATTAATCATAATTTGGTTCTATTTTTCTAGGTTATCTAGGTTTTTATATTTAATTTTTGAATCAAATGCAACTGCAACTATACAGTCTATTTGTCTTCACAGGACTCTACCCCAGAACAAGATAGCAAGAATGACAAATCTTTGGAAGCAATTCCTGAAACTGGAACAAGAACAAGAAGTTCATCTGGGAAGAGGGTGAGATTACTTGTTTGTATTATTTTCTTTTTCAATCACAGTTGTACCCTTAAATGCCAACTATCCAATAAACTTTTCCAAGGATGTCAAAAACGAATCAAATATTCAGATCATTTCGAATGTTTTGGCAAGCAACTGTGCTGTATGACTATTCATCAGTAAACAAGGGATATTCATATAGTCTTTTAAAGAAATTAGGGCGCTCCAGAAGTGTGTGTACCAATATGGGGGTAACTAATTTTGTTCGCCTACTTTACATCAAGTTGTGTAAAGAGACGGAAGCCTATGGGCACGGGCAATATTCACTTTGCTAACACAGACAGTCTCCGAACTTGTAATAGAACCAAAATAAGGAAAAACTGAATAAAATTATTGTAACTTAACTGGTACACACACTACGGGTGTGTCGAAATTAGTGCTATCTTTTGAAATTTTAGACTGTTTTTGCATAATTTACCATATTTGCATATTTACCAAGTTTTTGAGATTCTAATTTATTGTAGAAGAAAGATCTTGATTGCCTGGATTGGGACATTTTTATTCCAAACCTCATTTTTCAAATTTCAGTTTACTTTGTGTAATAAATAACTAATATAAAATTAGAATAACAGCTAATATTTTGCTCTCTGAATCTCTCTGAATATGATTTTGGAGCTTCCAAGATATATTTTATGTATTCTTTTTGTCCTAGACCCCTAAAATATCTAATGAATCGAAGGAATCTGCAACAAAAACGTACAGCGTGGAAAAGGTTAAAACAAAATCAAGAACAGGGCAATCAAACAAAATTGCTCCCACTTCTGGCAAGAAAACACCTAAAGTTTTGAAGCGTCGATCTTCAAATGCAGTTGAAACTATACAGGTTCGGTCGTTTTCTGGAACAAGGTATTGACACTTGACAGTCATCGACCTATCATGCAATTGTTTATGAAGTGTTTTACATTTGTTAACCAGCAAGTATCAGGTTTTGCATTACCTACTACTAAATTTATTACCCATCAATGTGTTATTTTGAAAATAGGATGGGAATAAGATATGCTGACTTGTCATATGATATAATTATAAACACATTTGATATTTTTGAGTTTTAAACATCTCTCAAACAACTTATTTTATTTTTTTTATTTTTTTTTTATTTTTCATTATATATTTATTTTATTATTTATTTTATTTATTTATTTTATATTTTTATATTTTTATTTTTTTATATTTTTTATTTTTTTTTATATATTTATATATTTTTATATATATTTTTATATATTTATTTTATATTATTATTTATTTTATATATTATTATATATTTATTTTATATTTATTAAAAAATTTGATTAGAACCAATTTTTGCAATAAAAATGTATTCGAAATTTCAATGTTTCCCCGTTTGTTTCAAAACCCGTGGGATACTAAATATGACGTTAGAGTATTTTATCGAATATAGTTCTTTTTATTGACTGATGTACATTCTAGTTTTAAACCATTTTATATATAATCCAAAAGGCTAAAAAACCGAGGAAGAGTGGATCAAATACTGACCAAGAATCTGTAGATGAAAAAAGTGAAGCAATCGACATTGATCTTCAGAATGAAATTATGAATGAAATAAGAAAAAAAATTGATGCAACAGGTATGCATGAACCTTCCCTTCCTCTCACATCTCGACTCATTCCACATGTGCATAACAAGGTGTTATATTATATGCATATAGTAGCCTACTATGGAAAAAGGTCATTAAAATTTTATATAGATCATTGCTGTTTTTTTATAACATATTATCCCCATTATTTTGAGAACTTTGTACATTTGAACTTCTATGCCGCACCGATGCGAAGTCATGTTTTTTGTTCAATTATCCAGGTGAAAAAAGTAAATCTGGTGGTAGTGATTCTTTTGCAAGTAGAATTCCAAGATTTACTGCATCAGGTGTTACTATCGGAACAAGCAAGCCTATTACACCTGGAAATAAAGACTGGAATAAACTACACAATAAGTAGGTGTCACATCTGAATTTATATATATATTGTCCGTAATCTAATGCCAATTCTTGAATTTAAAATTCTATTTTAGAAAATTCGACAAACTAGAATCCATTGATGATTATGAGCGAAGAAAAAAAGTGCGAGCAGAAAGATTACTCGGTTCCAACAAGAAAAACAATGCAAGTCTGAGCAAACTGGCACAACCAGTGAAAAGGGTGAGTTTTTATACTTGAATCATCTAGATTCATAACGAAATGGCAATCTGTAAATTTGGGATATCGTCTGTGAAAGTCCAATGGATAGAAGAGCGTTCATCAGAAAAAATTTCCTAATTATTTTATGCATGTTGGAAGTATATACGTAGTGTTTCAATGAGCATCTCATGATTCATAAGCATACCAAGATTTGTTATTACAGACTCATTCTAACAGTAACTAAAAACTCCAAGAGATTCCCTAGTAACTAAATACCGTTATGAATATTAATTCTATCTGGCGAATAGGACGATGCCAATTTTGGGCACTAAAAATGTGGCTTTTTCCATAAATAACTTTGGTTTGTGGTCGTTTTTTTTAATTGATGATATCGTCCATACATAGGAAGTGAGTGCATCATCACAATGGGAGTGTGCTTCATCATACGAGCCACGTTATGAATTATGATTGCCACTAAGATTTTAAAAGAAATGAATACAAATATCAGCTTGACAGTACAAAATCAAATAACAGTAGCCATGATTGGAAACTTGTTTGGCGTTGAATACATCAGCCAAAAAATATCCATGATTGCCAAGTACCATTGAATGTCTGTCAGTCATTGTAGTCCAATAAGTTGAATTTCTACACCTGTATTTATGACTGATTGCCATTATCATGAGATTTGAAGAAATAATGATTATAACTAATTTGTATTATTTTTCAGAGTAGGTCGAAAATTGTTAAACCAGTTGTTCAAAAAGGTCGTCCAAAGCCTGCGTTCATGTCGCCTGCTGTCCAAAGCGGAAACAGGCACACACCCAAAACACCAAAATCCATCATGAAGGACTCAAAAACGGACAATAAAACTGCAAGCTGGAAGACACCAAAAGTTTGTAGCAAAATTATTATATCCTTGTCAACTTTATTGTAATAGTGCCTCTTGTCTCATGCATGCTGAAACCTACCGTACCTTTTGTATTTCAAAAAGACTAATATACATTGAAATGTCCTGTATATCTATATTTTATAATTCCCAACACAACAAAGTTGTTTTAGCGCTCAACATAAGGATATCGAGTCTGTGTTTGGTATGTTTTTATTAGAGTTGGAGAAAATTTGAATTAGTTGGGAGTTAAATTCCAGACTTCTAATTGTGATAATCAAAGTCAAAATAAAGTTTATTAGTCGTTCTTAAAATTAAATACCAAACGTAAAACAGCCGTTTTCTGCTTTATGTGTAACATTATTGTATTACTTATGTGTTCAGGGTAACAACGTCTCGGTATTCAAACCTACTGTCACATCAACGAACAAATTAAATTTGAATTTTGCTCAAAAATCTGCAAAAGCTGCAACACCAAAAAGAGTCACTATTGTTTCAGGTAGTGGTTCTTATTTGTTTTCACTTTTACACAATGACAGTATATTATAAGCTAGGAAGTCAATTTGCAACACACCCGCACACATGCAGAGCGCTGTGGTGTCTTTATAGTTTGTTGTTTGAATTTAGTTTGAACTTTGAATTTATTGGGCTAGAATGAATATTTTCAAAAATACTGAATTATACTTTCTGTTGACTGTTGAGTGACATTTTTTCGGGACTTCTGTATGATTGAGTACGATTTCTTCTGTATGATTTTTTTTTGCATTGTTAATAGTCATCACCATATCTATAATAAAAAATTTAGGGTACTCCCGAAGTATGTGAACCAAGATGACGGACACTGGAACGTAGTATGTGTGCCAAGGTAGGCAATAATTTCAGGTAAAAATACTACAAGATTCACTTGGCTAGTCCCGAACTTGTAAAAGAACTGAAATTGGAATAAAATTATGGCTTAATCCTAAACTGGTACACATACTACGTTCCCGTGTCCGCCATCTTGGTTCACATACTTCGGGAGTACTGTTTTACTGTTAGTTTCAATATTGTAGCACAGTTGCATTATTAGAGGAGATACCATAGTCATGTATATCTCTTGGAGTGGAATACATGGTTTCCTCAATAGGTGGCACTCGTGGCAGCAATGAGATATTAGATTTGGATAAGTTGACTATTTCTAAATCTACTAATTTGATATATATTATCCAGATCAGGGCGATAAAAAGCAAACATATATAAAAACACCTGCAGCAGTTTCAAGAACTAAATCTATGATCACACCTGGAGAAAAACAAAAATCTTTAGTTGGGACTCCGGCTGCTCTTTCAACTTCACTGAATAATAATCTGAACACTCCTACCAGCACTAAGAAAAATCCATTTGATCTCAAGGTAAGATGAAGTGAACAAGTAAGTCATATTGTGACGAGGAAAGTTTTTTTGAACCTAAAGGAATGCAAACATCAAGTGCTCACAGTCGACTCTATTTAAATCGACTCTATCTGTGTGAGATTTATCTGAATTTTCAAAATGAAAAGGTGAATATCAAATTATTCTGAAATGCTTTTTTTCAGTAACAGTAAACAGTTATAAAAAAAGAATGACTTTGTTTATTTTTTTATATGAGATTTCATATAATATTTTCGCAGGTTGTTTTGTTGTATTAGCATTTGATTTTTTTTTTGTTGAAACAGGAGAGTTTGAAAAAACCATTGTCATGGGTTCCACACAAAGGCCCTTTACGTCCATTCAATGACACATCGAAGAAACCAAAGTTCCAAGATCGAATAAATGATGTAAAAAAGTCAAACATTGGCACAAGGTAAGATAAAATGAGTTTTAAATTTATAGTTGGGTACATAAACAATTATGTGCATGATTAAACTAGTCAAATGTATTCATATTTTTTCTGACAATACAAAAATAAAAAATTAACAAAATCACTTTTCTCATTTCTCATGAAATCACATATTGGTATATTCTGTTTTCAGAATAGTAGATTTTCCCAATTTGGACATGGTGGCCTGGTTATAAATAATTGTCTAGTCCAGATGGTACTTTGAATATGGATGCTGGGTATTTATTTTCAGCTTCTCGCTATTTCTTTTTCTACAAAATGTTATTTTTGTTTCCACGTTCGCTTCAAATCTGACTTTCCCCTCGAGTCACAAGTACAAGCTGTGGGGTCAGAATTCCAACTTCTGAATCAGGGGAGGATAGGAAGCCGGCTTAATCATATAGTGAACCACAGTCTTTCGTCCGGTTACCAGTCCATGTCGGTATGTAATTTGTTAGCCAATTATTTGTTTTCATATGCATGGACTTGATGGTGGAGCCGTAACCAACCAGCGGTTAAGTGAACCACCCTACGGCGGCGCGGATTCCAGCAATCCTTTCGCACTTAATTCACCCGCATGAAAGTTTAACAATACTACCCTACGGCGGCGAGGATTCCAGCAATCGTCTCGCACTTAATTCACCTGCATGAAAGTTCAACAATACTTTGACATAACCCCATACTCTCATAATATCTCTCTGTTGGGTTTTATTCTGCATGTTTTTAGGAATCAATATTTCTCATTATTATTATTCATTACCAATTTTAAGGGATAAAAGGAAGCAGAGAGCGGCCGCTGCGAAGAAGCATGCTAAAGATGAGAGAATGATGATGAGGCGTGGAATAAAATGAAGCTTATGCTAATTTTTATGATTTTAAAACAAGCTTATTTAAGCTTTTACTGCCTTGGAATGTTATGTTCAATTTCCTGCCTGTTTTTATTGTTGCTACATGATCTCATTGTTCTTATATTCATTCATCAGTGACTGAGTTACAGTTCTCAGTTTTCTCCTGGAATCCATATCATACTTGCCTGTCTCTTAAAATATGTCTTGTGTCCTATATTTTTATAGTATATGGTTTTTAGAGATGGTACAAACTAACCCCATTGGTTAATCTTATTGGTCTTAAGTTTGGCCAATCCTAAATTACAAACGACAATTAATTCCATTTTATATTTTTTGAAATGCTTATTTTGTTGCAGAGTGACTATGGTGTTTTTGGTTACCTTGTCATTTGCGGCATTCATTGTTATACAGAAATGGTTGTAATATGCCTTTTTATTCCCTTTTGGGGAATAAAATATATAATACTTCTTCTTTTGTATTCTTTCATTAATGGGAAACTTTGTAAATACCACATTCATTCATTGTAATAAAGTCATATTTGGTTTTCATTGTTGTCCTTTTAGTGGGGGATCAAGTTATACGAAAGTGGCTAGCTTTCCATCCACAGATATTCAATTGGCTATTTTATGCCATGTGGGAACATGCGCTGGTGCCTGGTTTCATTTTCACGTCACTGTTAATAGATAAAATACATTCTTTCAATTGAATGTGATATTAAAATATTGCAGAAGTGTAGCGAACCCGAACAATTTTTGTGGTTATAATCTGTTGTCGCATCGTTCTAAGCGCTAGGATTACGCTTACCATCGAGCCTCTGATAGCCATGTGTAGATTCGAATCCCTTGGGGGAAGATTATGCGAGAAGATCGCCGTCGCAGGGTGATTCGGGCGACCGCTGGTCGGGTCGGTTTGCTCTACTACCACCAAGTTCACGCTTCTAAAACAACTGGTTAACTATTCCTATACCCGGCGTGGACTGGTAACCGGACGAAAGGCCGTTCGCAATATGGATCTTATAAATCGACTTTCCTATCCCCCGCGATGAACATGAAATTCATAATTCTTTTTAATAGTACTCGAAATGTCGAGTTTAGACGGTTATATAGCAATACATGTTTGCATTTGGGGTGGCGATTCACCTTTTTTTTTACTTCTAAGTGAGCGCGCGTGAGCAAATTTCTTTGAAAACAAAATCCACAAGACTATTTGAGTTCCCGCATTACAATTTTTCAACCACACGAGGCTGTCGTTCGTCAAAATATCCCCGCGCCGTCTTCGATTCTTGCGAGCTGCCTGCAGTTGCGCTATTGTTACCCATGTTGTGTATTACTACGGAGTCGTGTCGCGTTGTACGTATTAGTGTTTTATGTCCTCGCTCGGTCAGGAAGTTGTTCTCATTTGGGGTCTCATTACTGCGTTAAGTTACAGAAACAAGTCAGTATGCATTTTGCCACCACTGAAGAAAGTTATGTAATCGTTGGGGTATGCTAGAATGCAGTAATGTCGACCAATCTGTCGGAGATGGGAGCGTTCGGCGAATGTGAAGGCAATCGTACCAAGGATGCCGACTCAGTGTTGCCGACTGGCAGATCTGTGATTGCGGCTAACGAACAAGAGAATATACCCGAAGATGCATTCAAGGGAATTATGAAAATTGATAAGGTATTGTAGTCTGAAATAATAGCATTTTTTTTTTTATTTCTGACCTAAATCTAAATCATAAGTGCATGCAACTCGCAGAACTAAAGCCAGGCTGCAATGATTGCCTTGAATTCTGCAAGCAAGTGAAACTATAATATTCTAAAGCTGTAAAATTTAATTAGGCCTACTAGACGGGCACTAATTTTTTTTTGTAAATATTGCTCAATGTTTCGTTATATTTTAAAAACTATCATGATGTATTCTCATTCAGTCATTCAGTTTGTTCAAACCGATGGTTCATTCGCTTTTATTACTGTTAAAATATTTTCTTTTTTGGATTATGTTTATAATAGTGTTGACTTTGTTTTTGTGAAAATGGATCTTTCTTCCTGGTTTTCCAATGTCTGAATGTGTTTTGGTCAATATCTTAACCACTAGTTTATTATATCCATGGCTGCATGTGGCTTTCATCATATCTGATTTTTTTTTTTAAATTCTAATTGTTTATAGTTTAGTCAGAGACAAAACAGATAGTAGGTTCCATTAATAAGACACAACTCTAATAATACTTGACACAGTAAACATAAAAGTGTGAAACAAACAATATTCATTCTTGAATATATGCAACTTTTATTTTAATATGTTAATATGAGAACATTGAATTATAAAGTTTTAAGCAGATAAAATTGAAAACTCCAAGCTTTTTTAAATTTTTTTTTTTTGAAATAGTTACCCATTTACCCAATGTACACCTAATTTCCATATTTTCATAGATCAGAAAAAATTACACAAAATAGCAATGTTAGAACAATATATAGAGATCACAAAAAACTACAATTTGTTTTTTAGTGCATCCATTTTTAAACTTTACAAATATGTTATTTGAATTGGTGTCTGTGCTCTTAAAAACAATTTTACAATCAACTTTGTTTGTTTTTTACAGAATAAAAATCTGCCAAACAGCTTCAGCTCTTTTCCGAATAGTAACATGACTCCTGGAGAGAAACAATTGTCGCATAACATGAGTAATAATAACAGCAGGACATGTAAAACGATGTCAACACATTCTACAGATTCTCAATTATTTTTGAATACTGTATCTGAGAATAAACCAATGGAGACTGCTGCCCCAACTTATACTTTAGATAATGTAATTATATTCCTATTGATTTATTTTCGTCTGGTTGCTATGAATTTATTTACGAATATCACTCCTTAATCCTCTTTTTTTAAATAAGCAAACTTTTGTTTCATTTTTCATAGTAACCAGGTAATTTCAATTAATTTATAAAGTACTATTGAATTCCAGTTCCAATAAATGCGTTTGTTGTTATACATTTATGATAACAAGTTCATTCTTACTGATAGACAAAATATAGTTAGCTTTTTCTGCCAGTTAATCTTTTTAATATATCGGAATTGAATTACAAAGTAAAATTTGGAATACAATAATTTCGTGAAAGACGTTTTTATACGGTAATAACAAAAAAATGTGAAATTGAAGTTTGATTTATTGATATAGAACTCATTTGATACCTATATTCAAAATATATAATAAAAAATATGGCCATTGAGCATTGTGGTTTGAATTGAACATATTTTTCTTTACAGATATCCTGCATATGTAAGGCACTGAAACAAAGTGAAGATTTTCATAAACTTGAAAATTTTTTGAAAAAAATACCACCAGATGATTATAATTCTGATACAGAAAATATTGTGATGGCCAGAGCATATATTGCCTTTTATAGGTATGATATAGTTGTAAGCGTTAAAATTATTTCTGCTAACAAGATACCTGGTTCTAACTTTTAATGTGATAACCATTCGTAGGCTTTGCCCACTGGAAGAAACCAATCACACACACCATCAACAACATGCTTTTATTTTGTAAGATGGGCTATGTTGTGTCTTTGAACATTTTATGCCAACGTCTGTATAATGTTTCAGGAAACAACTGAAGCTTTTTTTTTATTCATGATTCTGTCAAATTTATTTCTGCAGCTGAATGGTATGGCTCATTTAATATTTATCTATCTATTATATTTTAACAGGAATAGTTACAAAGAAATGTTCAATTTATTGGAGAGTCGCACATTTTCATCATGTAATCATAAATCCCTACAAAATTTATGGTATATGGCTCATTACGCTGAAGCAGAGAAGGTAGGAAAGTATTCGAATTATCTTATTACTGAAATTTTTGCTTTCCTATAGATTTCAGACAATGATATTATGTTTAATTATATTTGAAATTTTGTGAAACATATTTTCATTAGCTTACCTGTCGGTATATTACAAAAAAGTTTATCAATTTACTTATTTCTGTAGATCAGAGGGAGGGCACTGGGTGCTGTAGATAAATATAGAATCAGAAGGAAATTTCCACTTCCTATGACAATCTGGGATGGGGAAGAAATGGTTTACTGTTTTAAAGAAAAATCAAGAAAAGCCTTGAAGGTATTTTTAAAGTTTTAGGTTGGACATAAAAGTTGAAAATTAAGGAAAAAAGTTTTCAAGTTACTGCCCTGATTTAGTTGTGTGTTCTGAAATTATTCTCTGCAATTCATTGTAATAGAATCTTATCTATGCTGGAAAACACTAAGGGTAGTTCTGTTGGAAATGATTTATAATGGATTCTCTAAAAATAAACCTTTTCAAATAACACTGTTACAACTTTTTTTGTGTTGTAAAAGCATACTTTCTACTCCATTGTTATTAGCTTTCTGAAATATCTCATTTTTCAATTTGAAATTTGGGTAATAAAATTCATATTTTTGGAGAACCCTAGTTCTCACTGAGCGATTTTCATTTTGATCTATTGATTTAATAAACCAGGATTGTTACAAAACAAACCGTTATCCAACGCCTGATGAAAAACGAGAACTTGCAAAAATGACGGGGTTGAGTGTGATACAAGTTAGCAATTGGTTTAAAAACAGAAGACAAAGAGATCGGTCACCTCAGCAGTCGCCAAATTCAAGGTGATTATATCTCTGAATCGGTGAAGAATTGAAATTAGCTGCTAAGTTTGAAATGTGTTTGTATCAAAGTTTTAAAAATTAAGAAATAGTTTTTATTTCTTAGTCTTGTGTTTATGTTTTCATGTTTCCAATAATTTATTCCAGATTTATAGCAACATCTAGGATGGGAAGCCATTAATGTTTTGTCCTGTTTTGTTTGGTTAAAATGACGAATAAATGTAACGATATTTATCAGTTTTAAAAATTTGTTTTTGTATTGATCATTACTCTACTTGGTACCAATGATGATAAAATGAATGAATCAATTTAAAAATAATAATAATCCATATTTAAAATCAGGGAAAAATGTCAGGTAAATTCAAAATGGAATTATTGAGGAACCTCATTTTAATTAAGCAGTTAAAATTGACCAATATAACCGAGCACTTCTCCCAAAAACTTTATAAAATAGAAGAAAAATTTGTTTAAATTTTCTTGCATTACCAAACTTGCATCAACATTTCCTGCATTTGGATATTTGAATATGCTTTATTACACACAAACCAATTTAAAGTATGGTTAATATTTTAACGTATAAATATCGCTTTCGAGGGTATCGCTTTCGAATAATGAGTTTTTTTTTTATCCCTGCTTGGTTTGGAAAATGAAACATGTTCAACTCAAATAACAGTGCTTTTATTGTTTGTGCTTACACAGGAAAGACCACTATGATGTGAATGACAATATTTGCAATCCAAGAATGGACATTGGTAAAATGACTCCTGGAGAAATATCTATGAATTTACAGGGCAGGTTGGTAGAACATGTTGTTTTGTGATTAATAATTTAAATCAGTAAAAACTTGTTTTTGTGAAAAATATAAAATAGTTTGACGAGTTACTCGCGACTTCTTTATATATACTTCTCTTACCTATATATTATTAGCTACAGCTTCGTTTACTTTCATATAGCGAAATGTAAAATAATTTTCATCAACAAAAAGTGTAGTGAATATTTTTCAGGGCACACATGCAGTTTACAATATAAGTGCAAATTTTTCTATCTATGGGATTACCTTTCACTTTGAATAAAAAAAAAAATAATTACTTGTAAGAGTGACTTTAACACTAAACTGAGAATAGGACAAAAATTTCGGTATTTTTTTGGAATATTTTTGGAAAAAAAAATTTTTGGCATACCTATGTTTTTCTGTATACCAATTTCTCAAAGAAGAAATTTTTTGTTTTTTTTATAATAAATTATATTTTTTCTTAAGAGTGCCTTCACATGAGTCTTCAAAAAGCATCAACAGTGCAGGAAACAATTTTTTGAAGAACCCATCCGATGTGAAGTCATACTCTACTGTTCCTAATTTTTTACAAGGAACTTTTGAGCCGAGTCACATGGAATTAAAAACTGTAAGTTATTATTATAATCAGAAGTTATCTTAATATTGCTGTTGAATATCACTGTTGAATTTTGTACATCGTTGAAAATGTGGTATTATTGTTAGCTTTGCTATTAATAGGTCAAACGTTCATTGAAAATAAAATTAGTAATTTGAATATCAATATTTTCATGAGAGTGAGACCACTACTTACGCCCAATTTGTACTATCTCTATTATGAAATGATAATTTGGAATATTGGCAACCATGTATTTGCTATTTATATCGCCATGCTGTAAATGAAATCCTATTAAGAGTATCTTAATTTTAAAATTTGTTGCGTTGCATACCATGCCAATGTGTAAACTTTACTTTGTCAATTGTGAAACGAAACTGCTATTTCAGTTTTGAAAGCTGAAAATTGTTGGTTGGTGTCAAATACGGCGAAGCCAATTAATCAAGTAATGACTTTGATAACCATGACAGAATTCATAGCTCATAGTCTTCTGGGGTATTCAATGGTTATTTGAAACTTAGTAACTTGAAGCTCTGTAAATTATCTTGTATCAGCACTAACCCCCTGCTTCATTTTGCCTCGTTCAAACTCACAAAATAAGCCTAGTTAGGCTGTGAATATTATTCTTCATTCTCTACATAGCAATAACGTATTCGACTCATAAGTTTCAATTAAAAGTATAATTTTAGTTTCAAATATTGCAACAATATTCTTTTATTTTTAGTCATTATCATCAACTCAAATCAAATCAGGCATCCAACAAATGAACTCTGTTATTCCATCTAATATGGATGATAGTCAGCTAATTGCTTTGGATGCATTGCAACATTTACATGTAAGTTATATGAACAGTCACATTCTACTACAAAGTTATCATTTCACGGCGTACAAACAATCAAAAACCACCAAATACCACTTCATATCTCTGTTACCAATTTACCATATTTATTTTGTAACCAGGTTCCTCAACTTGTCAATTCATCCTCAAAACTTCAAGCGGGTTCTTTTGATAATCGTACATACAATCAGACAACTCCGAATACAAATTCCGCAACGCTACTATCATCAAAAGTATCAACTGCTTCCATTGCGACACTGAACTTTGATTCCGTATCATTATCGACACCCTTGTCAACAACGGGTTTCGTTTCTGTGCAACCTGGCTATGTGAATCCAAAAAAACGTCAACGATGCTTGAGTGACCCCACTGATTGTCTTTTGAAGCAACCAATTAAGACATTTACTGGGACGTTCCATACCATGCCCTACAGACCACATTCGTTACATTTGAGCCAGCCTAGTATTCAGGAAATACAAAGTGTCAATAAGGTCTCGACTGACATGTTTGGAATTGGCGGTAGTCAACATAACGATGGGTTGAATAAAATTGGAGATAATGACAGTTGTGAATTGCGACATAAGATATATCCGGGCATACCAAGCGAGACAGCTTATTCAAATTTCTCTCCGATCAAATATCCATTTCAGACAAGTGGCAGTGAGTCTCTATTACATTTTTTTGGTTTAACATTGATATTGTAATAAAAGTATTAGTATAACAATCTGTTGGAACAATAACATGTTCTTTGCAAAGTGAAGACGTCGAAAATTTTACAAAACTATGTACAGTATGTTTAGGAAAGATGAGCATGATTATACCCAATTTTTTTATGTAACAAATTTCCTAAATATTATTAATATAATTCAATGTTAATTTTCCACCAGATCGTATTTCTTCAATTGACAACACAATGTATGGTAGGACAGGTCTTCCTACCGCTCCACAAGTACCCCTCGTCAACTTGCATTCAACCTCTGTCAATATGAACTTGGTTAGCAGTATGCTATCCAGTCCACTTTCTACTACACAAGAACAAATGATGTCAAATCCAACATTATCGAAGCCTGAAATATTCCAAGGATGGGCGGGTGGTTTGCCACGTTGGTCTCCGAATTTTCAGTACGGATTGCAGCATCAACCACCCTTGCATTCCAGCTATAACATGAATGCCAGTAACATTAATTGCAATAATAACAACAATTCGAAGTCTGACTCTAATGGTCAAAATATAGTGATGGCATCCAATTTACTACCACTTATGGTTGGGTCTATGGTCGTGAATGGTACAAATCCAAATATTGCATTGGCTACTGCTGCGGCGACATTGCACGAACTTGGTAGTCATATAACACCTTCGGCAATGAAGCAACCCTCTCCTACATCACCATCTGTACATACGAAGAAATTGAGAGTTGATAGCCCTCGTGAAGACTGTGGATTAGACTTATCTCGTCCTAGGAAAGCTGCTTCAGAATTTGCTTAAATTGTTTGAAATGAAGTTGCCAAATATTTAGATTTTCAATTAGTATACTCTTTTCGATACCAGAGCTTTGCTATTTACTTTAAGGCTTTAAAAACTTCAATTGAACATGAATGTGTTGTTTGTCATATTAAAAGATCATATTTTAATAGGTTTAACCTAATTGTCAATGCAGTACCACACTGAACATTTCACTGTTGTAGATTGACATTATTGTATCAATCTAAGGTGCCATTATGACTAAACTCAACCATAAATTTTTCACATCCAATCAAAAATAATGTATGGCAGCAATGTGTTTGCACTCCTACAAACAGTCGTAAAAAAAAAATTCCGATTTTGTACTATTATAATTTGAGGGCTTTCAGATGCAAGAATCTTCATGTTAGTGAGTGTACAGTCACTTTTGATTTTTTTTTAAATTTTTATGTACTTGTAACAGCTTTTTTACAAGCAAAAAATTTGTTCCTAACTGCCGAATTAGAGATTTCTTTGTTATTCTTTTTTTACTATTCACTTTTTCGTTTGCCAAGTACTCTTCATTACTCAAAACTGTCTTTATTGGTGCTTTATCTTTTTTTTTTGTCAATCATCTCAGAAAACTGCTCATTTTGTGAATCATTTTGAATCAATACTTTACACAGAACTGACCAACCCTTTTTACCATAATACTTCTTTCTTTTACAACTTTTTTTTGTTATACTGTGCTGTGCGTCTGTGCTGTCAAATATTTGTGAGACTGGTCACCGAGGTTAAATTTTCCAAACCGAAGACTCATTTACTTTCTGTAACACGAATCATGACGCACTGAAATCTAAATTTGACTTTTTTAACATCAAATTATGACAAGTAAAAGTTATATGATATTGTTCAATGTCTTATGCAAGTTTGTTTTTGTCAACATAATTGATTAAAACATGGCTAAATGTCTGATACAGTCAGTAGTACTTTTCTGTTAACATTAGTTGTAATAGACTTATTGCCTCTAGATAGAAAAATTGTTTAATGTTTCGAATTGTCAACAATGTGCCATAAACATATAATTATAAAATTATATTATAGTACAGCTTATTTTGTTGAGTGGCGTAACACTTTTTAGTTGGTTATGTAATTATTATTCCACACAATTGATATGTTATTCGCAAACAATCAACCAGACCAATGTTGAATCCCACAAAATACTAAAATCGCGTCACATCAATTTAAATTAATTTTATATAAAGAATAAAATGTTTCAAACACTATTTGGTGCTAGCTTCCATTAAAATGAAAAACTAGGTAATTCCATATTTCATGGCCAACTTCTTCAATTTATTTAATGTTCAAAACTGTACAAACTGTTTTCACATTCATTATATGTTCATCTGTCTCTTGTGATTCATACTGAAATTTTCACCACTGTATGCAATAACACTTCAAGGTTTTGATAGAAAAGAAATATTTTACTATCACAGCCACTGTCGCTTTTTAACTACATCCAACTTATTTTACCATCGCTGTAAAACTAAAAACCTGACAAGGCTTCTGTAAATTCATCTTGAGAAACTTTGATTTACTATTATTACTGCCAGTTATTTAAAAAATCCCTTGATTTATTAGTCAAGCTATCGTCTTCAATTGTTGTAATTTTTGGATAAATAAATTTCACAACATGAAATGAAAATTGTGTTATGTTAGGACTGATTGATTTTGTCCAAACCTTTTCATTTATATGTTGGCGCAAAAGAAATTGGCGATTATTTTGAACCAAAATTAAGTCTTTTCTTCGTTTCCTACATATAATAATAGGTTTATTTGTCATTTTGGAAAATCGTTTTGGATTTCAATTTGAAATATCCTAGTATGACATTGACAATCATGCGTTATGTGATACTTCTATGAATCAGATACCGGTACAAGAAATTGGAACTGCCACATTGAATATTGTGTATATTTATTTGATAATGTTTTCGTGCCATTTTATTTGTTCAATCATACCTTTGTTACTTTGAACTATGCGTACTAGACCGACACAATCAACTAATATTTTTTTTATTTTATTCTTTACTGATTTTAAATATTTTTGGTCAAATTATGAAGTCGAATTTGCTTTTGGGTTTCCTGTGCATTATAAGTCTTTTTTATGTTAATTTCATTTTACCTTACTTGATGTGTATCTGGACTGATGTATAAATTCTTATTTCATTGAAGTGAGGTTTTTTTCGAAAAAAATAAAAAAAAAACATTTGAAAGGTGTTTTGAACCAATTTCATGAAATTGCTGTACAGAAAGAGTCAACCATTTTCAGGAATTCAACTCTCAATGCAAGTCCTCAACCACAATTTATTTTGGTATTTGGATATAATTCCATTGCAATACAATACAATACCGCTTCTCAGTGAACAGATGTAATAATACGAAGGCCAACATGTAACTGGAAGGCGTTTTAGGAGTTTGCAGTCATTTTCTTCATGTTGCATTAGCAGACCGGGGTCAATGTAAATATAGCTAACAAATTCAATCCTATCCTTTTTGTTCCGGCCGCGGTTGTGAAATCCACCAACATTTGGGAAAATGATAAAAAGTTCTATTCTATTGAAGACTTGTTCTGTATTGAAGTATCAAATCAACCTCGTCCTGTTGATGTCGCGTGATCAAATTAATGTTTTAGCCTGGATCATTAATCACAAAGCCGCATATCCGCTACGCAACACAATTGACGTTTGACTCTCTTCCTCTCGCCCTTGTCGTCCGCGTTTCGCAATGTTTGATCGATGTTGGGAATCGGGGAACTTCTATTGTGCTGTCGCTCAAGTCAGGCAATAGACGGAGTCGACTTTTCCTCACTCCAGCATTAGTGGGTCTCGTGTAATTTGATAGATCGCTGGCGCCGAGATCTTTTTTCCGGTCTTCGACATTTCTTTGTTTAGTAACATGATGCACTGCATATCGAATTGACTTGCAGTAACACATGCTTCTATCAAGTGGATATAATTGTAACAAATGGACTATTTGTGGGGCAATTTTATCAAATATATTATCATCACCAGTTTGTAAATCGCACGATACATTCTCAATTTTACGGGTATGAAAAACACATACATGCTCAGTATTCAAACTAATACTCTGTCGCAATCGAATACCACTAACGAATGGCATTCAGCGCTGTAAAGTTTCCGAGCATTTACATTAAAACTGTAGAGTGATTTATTGCCACAAAAACAAATTCAACACAAAGGGCACTGTTGGTAGATCTAGAATCCTTAGTACTGACTGAACAATAAAAATTCATGAGCAGGAACCGAGTTTTCAAACTTACTAATACAACATAGGTTAGGCTTTGATACATGGCTTGTGACGATAACATTGCCATGATTTATCCATTCTGCCCGTTCGGCTACTTGTGCCAATACTTTAGTTTTGTTGCGTTTGTTTCGTTTCGTCGAGTCGTTCTGCCGTTTTATAACAATAATAAAATAGAATTTTGCATCAGTAAAGCATTAATTTATATAAATGAGGTTGAGATGAATGTAAAATTCATATATGAAAAAAAGGAAGGTCGTCCATCTCGTAGCGATATTGCTTCGTAAAACTGTAACATTAAAAAAGGATGGGTAATATGTCGCGCCACGTGGTGAATTATTATTTTGAGTGACCGGCACCGTTTCTCAAGCGTTCAGTAGCGAACAGCACATTACATTGGATTTGGGTATAATAATATTTAGCATAGATTGGTAAAGTCTCTCTTACATTTCCACGGAATCATAAGAAATCCCGCGTGTTTGTTTTCACCCCTGCAGGTAAGTAATATGTCAAATGGCAATCCCATTTTAAAAATTAATTCCATAGAAGGAATATAAGATTTCAGGTTCTCCCGTAGTGTGTGTACCAGGTTAGGGTTAGGCCATAATTTTTTTCCGAATTTCCGTATTTTAGTTTTTTGTCAAGAGTTCGGGGACTGTCTATGTAAGCCAAGTGAATATATATATATATACCCCCTGCCCATGGGCTTCAGTCCCTTTACACAACTTGATGTAAAGTAGGCGAACAAAATTAGTTACCTCCATATTGGGACACACACTGCTGGAGTGCCTGGTTTCGTAGTGCCATTAGAACGGCATTCCCCATTTTCCGTCGAATACTGCTTCTTTTTTATCGTTATATAGTACATATTGTAACCCAATATGACATGCAAAGCGTTCCGTTGTTTACATCTCATCAACCCGAAATACAAAATCATTTGATGACAGTGTTCGGAGTAATAGATTCGAAAAATACCTGTGGATACATGCAGTGCATTGTGCATACATTATAAAAACCATGATAAAATTGAATAAAATAAAAAACAATTTGTGTCTTCATATGGCGAGGTAGGGGTTTCATCTCCCACACTTTATGAAATTCACAACTGCCCGGAAGAGTTTCTTTATTTCTTGATTGACTTCTTCTATGCGAAACCCGTAAATAATAGGAATTATAACAGTGTGTACTAAAACAAGAACTAAAATATAAACGTTATATGATTTGATTTGGCATGCTCCCACACTTGGACAAATCAGCAACGTTGCAGGCCAAGGAACACAACTTGTGAGAAATGCAGCAACAAACATGACTAAAGTAACAGTCAGTTTCCGATTTTGTTTTTGCCTCTCGCTTAGCTGAATAGATCCGATGGAAATTCGAGATCGAGATGATAAAGTCCGAGATATCGTATTGAGATTTTCCGAACGAAATTGAGATTGTCTGTTTTCTGCCTCCTTGTTGATGCCTGTGACAACGGTAAATGATAGGACAATTAGCGCAAAAGTACCGTACAGCGCAATTTCTACTGAACAACGACAGTGACAGTTGAGCAAAAAAATATCCGCTCGAGCTTGAACTTCACTCTGCCTTTTTAGCATACGGTGATTTTATAGGTTCATTTGTTCACATTTATAAATAAGGCAACACAACGTTATAAATAAATACACAAATACCTTTGTTTATGGTTATCCAAGCTGATACTACGATTGCAACGTTGAATCCAATAACCGTGGCTGCAGTTATAACACAAAGAATCGCTAACAAAAATGTGAGGACTGAATGGCCTTTTCTCCTGTCCCACCATATCATCATTGCAATTCCAGTCAAGGCAACAGACAAAGTAAAAGTCCATATGACAACGCTGATGATTCTGACTCGTTTCGTTGTAACCCAAGAAGTATACCAAAGCGGACATCTCACAGCAATAAATGTATCAATAGTTGCGGCCAGTACAAAGAAATATGATGCCAACAGTGAGGTGGTAAACATTGCTTGTAGTGAATATGTTTCCCAAAAGAAACGTCGTTCACACCTGAAAAGTATGTGTAAAGTAGTTAACGAATAGAGCGAGAAAAATACCTGTTTGTCATTAGGGCTAGGCATTTCGAATCGAATAGTACAATATTCAAATCGGTTCAGACTCAGAGCAAAATTTCAAATTGCCGCCATCTTGTTTTATTCTTTCCGCCAATGATCGAGGTAAATTTCTCAATTTTTTTATTAGAGCCAGATTTTTTAACGATTTCTTACATATATATGACTCTTTTCCGTAGTGAGTTATTGATGAAAACGTGTTTTTTATTGTGTGTAAACGCTCAGCAATCTGCCTGAGTGATGTATTCTATGTTTTCCATCTAGTACCTGATACAATAAAAAGGTACATATACTTTTATATCTCCCTAATATTCAAGATTCGATTAAAAAAAATATTCGATTCGACTTGAAATCGCCAGGTATTCGAAAATGCCCAGCCCTATTTGTCATGACTAATAAACTGCGACAACCTGTTATTTCATTAATTTTTTTTAAAGTAGTTTTTCCAACTGTACGCGATATATTGCTCGATGTAAATGTACACGATATTCAAAGTTTAAATATAAAACTTTCGGATAAACTTCTTAAGCAGGGTTGTCCAACGTTTTTGGTCAAAGGGCCACATTTAGTTTACGAATGGTTGCGCGGGCCACTTGACATGGTTGGTATGTTTCAGTTTTCAAGATACATAGATATTTCAATACCAAGTATGACACCGCTTTTATCCAATAAATTTGTCAATATTCGGCGCGATGGACGATGTAGCCATGCATAGCGAATTTTTCATATGACTGTCAGAAATTAGTGATCTCACGGGGGATTTGAATTGGTTCATCAGCTAAAAAAAACTTGCTCTTACAAGTAGCCTATGTGCTGTCAGATATTGAGGGCATAAAAACCGCCTCTTCTAGCTTCAAAGAAAAAAAAGAGATTGAAATACATGGCACACGATAAAAATAAATTCAAACATCTCTCTCCAGCAATACCGCTCACAATGGGACTTAAATAAGCTTTCGATAGCCGGGTGGTACTTCTCGCACGTTTGAATGACAAGGAATAATTTTTTTAGTAGAGGTTTAAATAATGGCCTAGATTTGTAAAAGACATTGGGATTCGAATACTACCGCGCGAGCCACTCGGAAACCTACGGCGGGCCACGGGCTGGACGACCTTGTTCTTAAGTCTACTAGTATTGACATCATGGTTCTATATGCCAACACTTTCTTACTGATGTTGAGTGGAGGTCTATGTAATAAAAGTGTCATTTTATATAATTTTACAAAATCAAAATTACTGTCTTCCTTCACCCTGCGAAATCACAACTTCTCCATGTTTTGGAATAAACCGTACGTATGCATGTATTTGTTGCCCTTTTAACAGGTCAGTTTAATTAATAAGTCTGAAAGCTGAAAGCCTGGACATCAAGGGGTATTATATTAAACGTAAAATTTAGCCTTGTAACATATGGCTCAAGTGCTCAATTTATAATTTATGAGACTGCTCGGATGCGAACCCCCAATCATTAAATTTGTGTTCCGAAATTTTTCGACTATCAACAAAATCTGACGAACGAATCTAAAAGGGAATTCCTCTGGGAAATAAATATGCCAAATTAACAGCCCACTAGCCGATGACCAATTCTAAAGCTCAATTTTTCTCTTTCCAAGCGTGTGATACTAAAACGAATGGCCAACTTATTTTGCAAAAAAATGTCTTAGTTAGAATTGTGGATTAAAGAAATTATTCCTTTACGTGCCTCTCTGGTATTTACCATAAAGCATTCTCATAGTGTAATAACCCCCTCTTTGATGACAGAATCCTATATACTTTTACAATAACATTGTCTTAAACAAATATTCCACGCTATCGAAGATAAATGTATCACAACCGGTGAATAGCAAAACAATTTAGTTTGCCGACGAATTACTATTCAGAAAAACTTCATCAGGGCATGATATGGGAAGCACGATATGATATTGTTTATGATATTTCACCGGTTGTGCTTTATTTATCTTCGACGTGATACTGGTGGCAAACATGCTATGACGAAAACGTGAAAATAACTATTAATATCAATTGAGAATATATATTATAAATATAAAAATTATATTTACTCACGTATAAATTGTTGGACAAACTGATATGGTTCGACCATTGTATAAGACGTAATTAAACGCAAGTATAACATCAGCCAGTGAAAAATGCCAAAGGAAATAAAACATCTTGCACTTCTTCCCCAATTTCAATGAAGCAACAACGAAGAGTAGTAGCAGATTTTCTATCAAGGCAATAACACCTAAGGTTATGATTGAATATGATATTCTGAACTGCTTGACGTCACAATTGTTAACACATCTTGTTGTATACATTGTGCTGGTTAAGAAATATGCTTCAGTCGTTGTGTTTACTTCTTCCTGTAGAAAAATATATTTGCACTTATTTTACCCATTGATTATGTTTACTAGCATTGCTATTACTATTTAAAATTAAATACACACTATTGCGTTAGCGCAGAGTTTATATTTTGCATGACATGGATGGTAGCAGTTGCCAGTTTAGGCATCTGGGTGAAACAAGCATAACTGATTTGATATTGGCCTTTGTATAAATCAAGCCGCCATCAGTGTACATTAGTTCAGTCCTCGTATGACAAGAATCAAAAACCAATTTCAGTAAAAGACAATGACGCAAAGAATCACTGGGAATTGAATATTTTTATTCCCACATTCTGTATCTCATTTTGAGTATATCGTATACCATCATTGTGTTCCATTGGGGGAACACATCGCGTCCAAAATCACCTGATTTGATCATGGGATATAAAATTATTTCAAGAACATGTTCTCCCGAATATTGGACTCACTAACCCCAGGTTCCCTCATTTCACAAAGTCTTGTCAAACCTGAAGCTTCATAAAACAGGGTCACTGTCCTCTGATTATCACGCCATTGTCATGAATCCCCCACTGGCTGGTTATATGGATATATACATATATATAAGCTTATAAAAAATATCAGGTATCATGCGATTACACTAAATATTATTTTAAAACTGGCACTTCGTTAAAAATATTATGGAATCATTAAAATTGCACCACATTAACTAAGAGCTCAAAACACTTTTTAGTCTTCGACTACCAGATAAGCCTAACTAAATAGTGAAAACCAAATATTAGATGAAACCCGTCCAAAATTTTCGTTAAATAAGGTTTCATTTAGAATCATAATATCTTGTATGGCTAGTATGTACTAAAGACTATTCTAACCTATCAAATCTTCTCTGAATATTGTAGCCTCACCTTGAATGAGAGACCATAAGAAGTTGTTGATAATTCCGATCCATTTATTTCGAGACCATCAGTAACATAATCCGCTGATCCTTCTTCATCTGACATACTTATAATTAATGGCATCTTCGTTAACATTGAATAACAGATCGTAAGTTCATGAAAAAATTATCATTCAAACTAGTATAATATGAATAGGAATATCCATTAAAAACATCGCAAAATATCCTAGATATGTGTGAGAAAATGTTAACACATCAACTCAGTAAACCTTTCTCCACGTTAACCCTTGTCCATGATAATCCACTATGATACCTTAATGATAACGATTTACTAAAAGCACGTTGCGGAAGTTACTTTTATACTATTTTTCTGTTAGAAAAAGATTCATGTTAATGGCGTGTACTATGTCTGGTCAGGTTATGACCGTCGCACGGGCGAGAATATTCCTTCGTCGTTTACATATTGGCATATATATCAAACCTAATGAGATTTTGATGAGCAAATATTGATTGCGGGGCGTAAACAAAACTCGACCGTGACATTTTTGGTCTATCTTAATTGTTGCAAAAAGGGAAAAAACTGACTAGCATTTCACGGTATAATCATTTTATGGAAATTAGGAAATCCCTGCCTATTTACGGCAAGTCGAGCTTAAAACATTGCTAAATAAATTCCATGTCCATCAGGTCATGGGATATGCCTGATATTTAATGTTGTTCTAGCTCCTGTTGTTTGATTTGATTCATATGTATGTGCCTCGAATTGTATTGTTTGTAAGATAACTCTCATCGCTCATCCTAGCATTATAATCTTATATACTAAGATTTTGGACAGGAATTCCTGGAACGTTTTATTCTGCATCTTCTTGGTGTTAATGGCCGGATCCAGACGGACTTAATTGAAAAAATTTGGCATCTTTATCACAATTGTTTGTTTGGTTGGATGAAAGCGTGGAATTCTTTGGCGCCCTAAATGATTCTTCCTCGTGGCAATTCCAGTCGGTGGTGGACATTTACCCACCGCAAAGTCGTAGAAAGCGAAAGGTCGATGAGTGGATTTTAATACTAGGACTATATATATAACATTTTTATGCAGCAATTTTCTAATTATCAAATCATTTTACGACACTTCGTTGAAAAATAAAAGAAAATAGGCCAAATAGAAAACCTTGTAATTTAACTAATTTGTTAGTTGCGATCATTATCACGCTACTCTTTCGGTCCTGTTTTCTTGGGCGTTTTCTTCTGTCATCCTAGGGCTGACCGGCGCTCGATTTCAGACGTACCAAATCTAATCTAAAACTCTCAAAACAAGTTTGCGTTTTTCATAAGTTTTTGCGTTCCATTAATCTACTCAATCTGTCCTAGAATGCGCTAAAATACAGGACAATTTTCTCGGATGATTTGAAGGTAATTAGGCGATATTTTTTTGAATTCTGAGAATTCATTGAAGCCATGAAAACATATCTTCAAGTAATATTCTCCATCATCTTATATGTTTGCATTACAAAGGATGATTAACCACATCGATGTAAAGATGTTTATTCATAACGTGAAGAGTCAAACATCAAATAATGTTAGAAACCAATTGCTGTTCGATTCTGGCTACTGGAGTAGAAAGGTTGTTTTCAATAAATCATTTTCTCAAATACTATATCGTAATATTTATTTATGGTAAGAATCGTTCATTGGTATATTTTATTTTAATCTTTCTCCGTATGTAATGTTTCTACATGATTAACCTATCGCTGACTGAAATCCGTGAGTAAACAAGTGCTGCAATCTACATGGAATTCGAACATTTTCTGATTACCAGCGTAGACAAATAAAATGTAAATAGACAACTAAAGTTCCCACAAAAATAGATGTATCTGACCAAGTACAAATCAGTTCGGATCTTACAATATTGACTTTTCAAATACACGGCCATTCATGACAAAAGGAAAAAGCATAACCTCAAGTCAATATAACTAAATCCAAACGCCTGTTGAAAATATCAATTCCAAAAATACTAAGCATCAGCGACGAATTTGTCATATTGATCCTTACCCTTGGGACAAGACCGAATCAAAATAAACTTTTTTGAATTTGAAAATATAAACTGGTAACGAATATTTTTGTGCCATCTCCAGAACGCCGATCTCACCGATAAACATTCCCATGTTCTGCTGAGTAAAATCGTTTTTTTTTTTACTAGAAATACTGTCCCGTTTTGTGCCGTTCAGCGTAGTAAATTTCAATTCATAACATTCTTTGAATTTATTTTTAAAATAAATATATTTCTGACATTATATTAATATCCCAAAGGTCTTTGAAAAATTGTAAGATTTTTCTGGTCATGAACGTTTCGAAATTCAGGTATTTTCGATTTGAAAAGCAGTTTTGCTCAAATTTGAATCTGAATTCTGATTCTTCCTCCATGCAACTTGGCGGTCACAATTTGACTCACACGTACGAAAATCTGGAATAAATATATCAGCTACTCGTCCAACTCGTCGCTTCACTGACGTAAAAAACAAAAAACGTATTATCCTGAGCGACGTTGAACTACATCACAATCCTCATCGAAATGAAAACAATCACCCGTGTACAATTGGAAATGACGTTGATCACAACAGCTGATTTTTCACGTTTTGCTTGTGTTTTGGAAACAATCGTGTTTTCGTGGACTAAAACCAATTTAAATCGATGCTATACATCACTAATTGCCGTCTACGAGCCATTAGGACCATCACCAAACGTTCGTCGGAAAAAAGTGTTCCATCGTTAAGGTCAGTATGACGTCTCATACATGACAATATTACTCGACGATACATAATTAATAACGGAAGTTACAAACATACGGAGCATAACACCCTATAAGGCAATGTTGACAATTTTTGTCACGTCTACATTTGAAGCAAAAACAGAATAAATGCTAAACTGTATTCGGGTATTATTGAGTATGCCATTACTTTTTTTTTAATTTTAATTCTTATTATTAATATATATTTATTCTAATGATGCATGAAATTTAAACAAAATGAATAACTACAGTTGTGATTCAGGTTTTATATTATTTATGATTTTTCTGGGACGTTGAATCAGAATTTTTTTTTTACATTAATATATCTAAATAAGCATCATACGTAAACTTATGACAAAATTAACCCTCATTTTGTTTTGCCACGCGGTTAGTAAAAAGGTTACTAGCTTTGGTTTATGGATTTGGTTCAGTTTTGTTAAGAGTTTTCGACAAAAATATTAAATTTTTTATTTATGGAACTTGTCTGCGCAATCTTGTTTATTTGATATAATAAACTTATAAAACATGTTAAGAGTAAATTTGTCTACAATTTTCTTGTATTTTTTTTTGTTTCTTGTCATTTTTTCTTTTTGTAAATCAAAATATTGTGAATGGTAGGATACGCTAGAGAATTGAGAGACAAAGTATTGCCATTCCAATACCAAACTTCAATAAAATCACACGTCATGCCCCCAAATCAAAATAAATTATTATCGTTCACTATCTAATGTCTACAATCAGCTTGTTACTTGGTGACCATCCTTGGGTATTGGTTATAGATGTGACCAATATTAGCCATTTGATATACATGGCACGAATAAAACAAATTGGAATGACCAAATTGGTTTGATTTAATTTATAAAAACATCATTTCGGATTTTATTAATGTCATGAATTGACATGATGATATGTGCGTGGCCATAAGGTGTTACGCCACACTCCTTTTAAAAAAATGATATCGTGGAGCAGATTAAAATTTCGGGTCGTTTATACGTAAATCTATTTCGAGATACTAACCACCAACTAAACAACGGTGTTTGGATAGATACAACATGATGAGTTCGTAAAAATAAGTTTTCAGTCCTATGACTGTATTATGCGTTCCTTACTTTCCTAGAATCTTGTTTATTACTCACAAAATCATTTCAATTTTATAATTCAGTACAAAATAAAGAATGATTGTTAAATTTGATTATCAGGTTCTCAGGTTTATATTTTAACAAGGTCGCTCAAGAAAGGAGAATTTTTAAATGATTAGTTCAAGTTTAATCTGAAGCGATGTTACTGAGACTATACATTGAACTTAATTATATTGGAAATTTCGAAAAATTACAGTAGAAATACAAAACCAATTTTAACTATGATTTATAACTGTAAATAATTCGCAGACATGCATCAGTAATCTTCTTAGAAAAACTATTCATCGCTGAACGTCGATCATGTATGAATCGCGTATCGCGAAAACAAACGTTTTCTCTGTCTACTACAGAAAAACACCTCCCTTTAATTGATGTGTATTCTGTTGTGGAATAAAACACCACCCGATGAAATGTGCCTGACTTTCGTGGACATCTTTTCAATAGCACTGGCATTGTTACAACATTTTCATTGTACCGCTTCACGCAACTCAGTAACAGAGGCGAGTCCCGGTGAGTCGACTGATACATATAATTGTGAATAACAAGACTTATCGTTGACATAAAATATGCCAGGTGGTGGATTGGAATCGTTTATTCAGGTAAATAATAAAATTTTGGTAAAATTCAGGTAAAATTTTGGTTAACTAAAATTCAAAATATACTGGACGATGTACAATGCAGCATTTCTATTGAAAAAGGGAATATTATAGTAACAGTGTGAGTTTAATTGGATAACTATATGCTATTCAATTAATAATTTTTGGCAATGTATAGAATGAACAAGCATGCACAATTTTCAATTATCACGAAACTTGATGGTTGAATTTTGGTTAACTAAAATTAAAAATATACTGGACGATGTACAATGCAGCATTTTCCTGAATAATCATATTATTTAGAGTTCTTCAGGCAGTTGTTCTGTACTATACACAGTTTGTATGATGTATCCATAGTATTTTATTTCAGGACGTGTTGTCTACATTTAAAAGGGTATGCACTGCTAGGATAGATTAGTAACAAGAATACTATGTTCTAATTGGAGTTTTTGAGGTTATCAAAACAGCATACAAAAAATAATAAAATTTTAATTTTTTCAAACATTCTAAAAATCAACTCAAATATCTTTTTCTAACTTGTGAACTGATTGTCGTTCAATTCTAAATGTATATTTACTGAAGTCAGTGTCAATATAGTGAATGTCATAGATTGCAGTGTTGATTCAAAATCCTCAGATGTTATTACGTGATGTTCACATCACACGCCTCATAGAATATCGATCAAAAAATCAACATTTCGTCTCACCCCCTCGAAGATTAGCTGTTGCACACTATTCTTAATATATGTACTCATATTTGTATTTTATGAATAATGCTTCTATTTAATCGCATATTCAACAAGAGATAACGA